CCATCTGCTTATATATAGTCATGTCAGCAATTAAGTCGTAAATGCAATACAACCAGTGTGAAGCGACCCATGTTAGTAAGTGCATTCGGTCAATAACGTCAATAATGTATATATGGTAACAAGAAGTCGGCACCAGTAAGAATAATATTTAATCACAAACATGTGATATATATATATATATATATATATATATATATATATATATATTATATGTCTGATTTTGATCCTTTAATTTTTTAATTAATTATATTCTTCTAATTTTAAAATTATATAAATTTAAGGTCTTATCAATTTTCTTACTTAAAACTTTTAGATCCTTTCATTTATTTATCTTTTACAAATTAAATTGATTAAAATATTATAAAATAAATTTTTAAGTAAAAAAAATCGACAAAGAACTAAATTTGTATAATTTTAAAAATAAAATAACTTAATTAACTTTAAAAAATAAAAGGCTAAAAATAGACATAAAACAGACTAAATTTTTAAGTAAAAGACAATTGACAATAAACTAAATTTATATAATTTTAAAAATAAAATATTTTAATTAACTTGAAAAAAATAAAAGACCAAAAATGGACATAACGCAGACATAAATTAAAAGTCAAAACTACAATTATGTTTTCTTTTTTTTTTTTTATCTGAAAGCAGCACAGATATGTTAAATACTCGTGTTTTTTCACTGTATACAAGAGGAGTGTATGCTTGTGTATTTTCGGGAATATAAAAGAGATGGATCGGTATTTTTAAAGATAAATCTGTAGCCTGTGTGACCACGTCGACCATGCCACAACATATATAAGCAGAGACTTATAGAGAGTGAGTGATCTCATGCATGTTCAAAGATACAAAAGCATTTTTTTAGAAACATAAAGGTATATTTAATTCTGAAAATTTGTATTCATGAATATTATTTTTTATTCTCGTATAAATTTGTATTAATAATTTTGCAATGCTGTATATATGTTTAATTTGATTAAATGTAGTTGATTAGTAAAAATACATCAACTCTCTTTAATTTGCATTTATTTTTTTATTCTTTATATTATTTAATTAAGTTAGTTATTTCTTTAAAAAAAATTATTAGTTATTGTTGATGTTCGCTGGAAAACTTGAGATATAATTAAATTGTCTCCAAATTTAAACCAATGGTTCTATGAAACTATTAAGAGACTCGTGCAAAAGAACAGTTCAAAAATTAAGCTTAAAGTAATTTGAAATGTTATCATTATTTTTATTTTATTTTTTTAAAAGAGCATAAGAAATATATTTTATTTATTTATTTTTTTATAAAATTTAAAAACAATATTAGTTATTATTCTTGTGCTAATATATTTTAATTCACATAAAATATTTATATTATTTAAGTAGTATAAGACTTGAAAGAAGATCAACTAATAAAATATAAATTACATGATTAAATAATTAAAATTTATAAATTATATATTTTTTAAAATACATGGATAAGAAAAAAAAATAAGTTACGAGATGTTATATCTTATTGAATAGTAAATTTTTTAATTAATATCTTGGACTTAACATAGTTAACTTAAGTTTGAATAGGATTTACTTCTCTCCCAAAATTTAAATGCTATAGTAATAGGTTTTAAGGATTTTGTATAAATATTATAATTTGACTAATGAATACTTTAAATTTGTTTTGGTAATGGGCTTATCATATTAGGTTTGGAAGTGATATTAAAATCACGTGCGTTGGAGGCCACATTTAATAAGGGCAGAACCCAAATGCCAACTAACATATTAGATGACAGCCAATAAGTGGTGAATAGTGATAAGCCGAAGAATACATCACAAACCATGTGATGTCGCCACTGGTTCCCACTGACCTCTGCAAGTTGCAAGATTGCACATCTTGTTATTTAAGTTTTTCATTTAAGTAACATACTATTTTGTCCTAATTTAATTATTAATATTTTTAAATTATAAAAATAAAATTTATTTTTAGTTATATTACTTTTTTATATTTTTATTTATTGTAAATTTTATATTAATAAAATATTCATCTATTATTATTATATATGTATATATACACACATTTAACCTTTTGTGATTAATTTGAATTTAAAATTAAGTTTTAAATTGATATAAAATTGCTATAATGATAATTTGTTGAAATTATAAAATTTTTAATTGAGCATGAGAATTTTGATGAGCTATCCATTTTCTCATCAAATCATTAAGTCAGGAAAGTTATTGTGCATTAAGTGTGCATGTATACACTATATTTTGTGTTAAATAAATTATATTTAAAGATTATTTTAATTTCAGTCAAAATAATTTAAATTATTTTCTGAAATTTTGATATACTATCAATAAAAAATGTGTATTAATTTAATTTTTAGTTTTAAAACTTTTATCTGATTGAAGTTTGTCTGTTTAATAGAATTATACATATATCCATTAAAAAATCATTAATGATAATTTGATTATATTCATAAATTTTAATTAAATATTAAAGCATATATGTAATGTACAAAATTATTATTAGTTTTGTTTAAAAATTGTAATTAAAAATTATCCATGTAATGCATGAAAGATTTATTAATCTTTTACCAAGTCTAGTCCCATGCCATGACCGTGGCTCTCTAGTCAAAGAACAAATTTTTTCATGCATTCCCAAACCATATTTCACTGAACCCTTTTTCATGCATGGCGTAGGACAACTGCAACATGTTGTTGTTCTCATTAGTAAGACAGCTTAGAGCATGCTATAGATTGAAGCTGGATAAGAGGTTTGTATCGTTCTATTTGAAAATGCCTACTGCTAGAGTTAGACAACTTTAGGCCAATTACAGCATGCACCTACATGTACTGGCCAAGTGCAATCTTAACTCCAATTGAAGGGTATAATTAAATGACTATTATAGAATAATGATATGGCAGATAATGCTTATAAATCTCGTTGAGCATAAACAAAGTGTTTTCTTAATTAATTCATTAAAAAGACAATTGAATATTTGTTTGGAAATGGGGAGGATAATCACATCCATATTCAATGAATTCTTATAAAAATTATTTATAATAAATAAAGATATGGGTGTACAAAGTAAAACACCTAATCTTACTTATACCAACATAAAATGTTTATTATATTCAAATATTAAAATCTAAAATATTTAATTTAAGATTACTAGAATACTAGTAATGGGGTCTAGATACAGGTATTTAGATGCGTAATGAATAATAATATAGATATTAAAATTGTTATCCATAACAGGTTTGGGAATGGAAAAATGATAATATTAAAAATAAAAAAAAAACATAAGTTCGAAGATGAGTAATGTATCTTACAAAAATATTACCTTGTCATTCTTACTTGTAAAAACCCAAGATTCTCAATCATATCTGCGAAGCTTTTTATAGTTGGAGGGGAAAAACGAAAGGAAAAAGGTTTCGCAGTAAAACCAACTTGGGGTGGAAGAACTTTTGGAGGCAAAAGGCACAGCACAAAGATGTGTTCTTTTGCCATAAGAACAGACATAGCGTGAGGACATGCCACAAAAAATAGAACCTCGGGACTTCACAACAAACAGAACAATGTGATTAATAATTGCACAACTAATTGCATTGATGAAAAGTTTGATGATGACTATAGCAACATTGCTTCACTAAGAAATACCAAAACTAGTTCAGCCCTAATATTCACTCCCAAGCAGCATAAAGTTCTATTAACACTGTTTTAGCTTTTAATACTATGGACACAATTCAATTACAACATCCAATGATCTCCACTTGCATGCGAAAGTACTTTGTGCATTGACTAATAATTATGAGAATTCTATAATCAATTGATTATTGATATTGGGGTCACAAATCATATCTTCTATTCCATATGATTCAGAGTTTCAGTGTTACAAACAATCGAGCCCATCTCAACTCATGTGCCCGACGGTAGTCAAATCTCTATAAATATATGTTGAAAATAATTGGTTTTTCTACTTAACTCTGTCTCTCTCTCTCTTGATATTTTGTGTATATCAAGTTTCAGTTTTAATTAGATATAGGAATCCAAATTGTCCTCAACACTACACTGCAACTTTCCTTCTCAAGGTTGAACTATTTTATACAGGAACCACCTACTTTAACAACAATTGGCTAAACTAAATATTCAAGAAAGTGCATGATCCTAACTTATGGCACATGACTTTTCCATCCTTCAATTGACATACCTTGAATATATTTTTTTTCTTTTTTAGTTTACGAGTTAGTCTCATTTTCCTTGCTATGTATGCCACTTAGAAAATCTTCCTTTTTTTAACAGCAATTACAAATTGGTTTGTTAATCTTAATTTTTAGGCCTGAATTTAAGTACCTATGAGTAATAAATTTTTATTAAAAAAATAAACATCTATTTTGCCTTTATATTCTTAAGATACCAAAGAATTTGATTTCTAATAAAAATTTATTCTTTATATTTGCTTATCCTTAATTTTAGAGGCTAAAGTTAACATTTTTATTATAGATTTATTTGATATTTTTCATCTATTATTGATGACAAAAACAGACATACTTGAATCTTTTTTATCAAACAAAATCACGAGTACCATCCCTCGTCAAATCCTTTTCCCTAAAAATCATTCACCATGTCAAATATTACATGACAGACTTCTTTTGAACTTGGTTTTGATGAGTTATTTTCTTTCAATCGAGTACACGTGACGCAAATCAATTCCTATTTGTAATTATAATAGCTCAATAAGTGTCAAACTTATTTTATGTCTACAGTATATTTAAATTCAATTTAATATATATATATATATATATATATATATATAATCTTATGACATTAATTTAACTTTTATAATTTTTTACTTTATTGATTTAAATTAAATAAAAAGTTTAAATTGAATTTAAAAATATTTTAGCTTAAATTAAACTAGTGTAAAAATATTCTGCGCGCATATATATATATAGCAAGAAAAGTGTCAAACTCTACGCTTAGAAGTTGTATATATAACTAACTGTTTTTTAATGTGTTAAGGATATACATTAAATTTTTATTAAAAGTAAAATATTACAGAATTCAATACATTGATAATATTAAATGGTAATTTTTAACGTGAAGCTTTAAACACACCGTAGAAATCCGCATGAATGATTCATAAGAAACTCAGAAGAACTTGTGCATATATTTTTGAAGAATAGGACCTACGAGCTTTCTGTAAGTGTTTTCGGAGGGATGAAAACTATCCCAAAAAACGTAGTCTTGCTCATCAGAACACGTGGGAGCCAAATGGTTGCAGAACACTGCGGACTCTATTGTGCCTGTACCACAGCATCCTTTGTCTCCAACTTTAAAACCTGCAATTATAAAGCCAAGACAAAAATATGAATGTTCAGGATGTTTTTTGTTTTGGTAAATAGTTTTATCCAGAATATTCACTTTCAAGGGTAGTAGAGCCAATTAGACATGTGGGTCCCAACTCAATGGTGAGTTCGATTCAGTTATCTGTCACAATTAGTCTATAAATTTGATTATGCAATAATAACTGCCCTTTGTGCAATGAAACATTTGCTATTTCCTTGTCCCAAATAATTTTCATCTCAATTTATTTCTATCACTCACTACAGTGCCCTGATATGTTAGAAGGTAGCAACTTTATGATACTTGATTTTGACAAAATAGTAATGAATAAATAGCATGTAATAAAAGTGAAAGTTCATATTACCATAATTTCGGTAATTTACAATCATATCAAGTAGAGGGGTGTAAACATCAAGGTAAACCATCCTGGCATTTGGCAAGTTCCGGTTAAGGGAATCCAGCTCCCTTGACAGTTTAGTGTTAAATAACTCGGACAAGTAGTTGCTTTTTTCTGCACATTCTCTAACTATTCCTCCCATCATTGTTCTCTGAAATGGCACGCACCCAATTGGTGGAGCACTGAATACTCCTATCCTCCGAACCCCTAGTTGATATATTTCCTTCCAATTATATTGAGAATAATTAATGCATGTACACGGTGAGGTAATTAATTAATCAAATTAAAAACAGTATGCAAATTGCAATCTATACATGAGTATGTGCATTTCTTGATCCTTAAGCAAACTTTGCTTAGACTTGAGCATACCTTTAAGAATTTAGAAGCTGACCTGACCATTAGGTCAGCGTAACTAGGAATATCATACTGCACTTCTCTGGCATGACTCAAAACGTATGTGTTGGAAATGTCATTGCTACCTTCCACCACAAGAACAACACTATTGGCTAGTATGAAGTTTGTTCTGTTCGCTCCAACAATTCTTTTAAGCTTTCCTATGTATTCTTTGAACAGATCTATTTGACCGGACAAGGATATAGCTGCCTGAGTATAAAAGAGTAACCAAGTTTAGAAAGGAATAGGAAAATAAATAACATTTTTTGTTTCTATTAACCAAAAATTTTCAGGAGAGAGAATAATGAAACAGAAAATATCCCTACCGCTATTTTAGATGTGAGAGGATCGAATCCGGAACCACCGGATGCAAAGCAAACACCAGTGATTAGATCGCTGGGTTGGAGATTTGGATCTAAATATGCTGGTAGAAGTTCCTTAATGCCCAATTCTTCAACTGTGATCATATTATAAGAAATTAATTTACAACAGATTATTATTATTAAGGTCTGCCCCAACACAACACGGTAGATTGCATAGATAATTGTAATCTCATATGTTTCAAAGTAAGCTTGACAACACAAAATCAGTATAATACAATTGAACACAGTACAAGACTTATAAGGCGCCCTTGTCTCGGAATGAAGCTAGGGATTCTCTCATAAATTTAGTGGGAGCAAAAAGCACTTGAAATAGGTGAAATTTATGTTTTTTCTTGCATTTTACGCCTCAGTTATACTCTCTCTAATCTTTTTTATAAGAAATAAAATAGTGTATTTTTTTAGTTTTTATTATAAAAAATAAATGATAGATTCAAGATATATTAATTGTTAAAAAATTTTTATTAGTATTATTAAATATAAATATTACTCTTTAATATTATAGATATTCTTAAAATAAAATTTATATAGAAAATATAACTGATTTAATTGCTTTACTTGGTCTAATGATTTAGTCTTTTATTTTTTATAAAAAAATTAAAAATAATAGTATATATCTTTTACTTGACGCAATCTGTTTAAATACTTATTTTTTAACAAATAAAAAATCATGATGAAGATTATTATAGTTTCATCATAATGAGATATAATCGTAACAGAAATTATAATTGTTTTTGTAAATTGATAATTAATTCATGTTTTGATAAGTATTTTTACAAAAGTAATTTTATTTAATTGTAAGATTATGATTAAAATTAATATTTTATTTTCTAATGTTTAATAACACATCTTATTCTCTTTAATGTTTCTAAACAAATTAATATATTTTTAATAATTTATTTAGATGAAGAAATAAATAAATAAAAATAATTGTTTGGATTAAAAAATAATTAATAGAAGAAAAAATATAAATTGAAAATTCAGGAAAAATATTTTTTAAAAGTTATTTTTCCCTTATTTTTAATTTTTCAAATTAATAAATAAATAGATGATGACATGACATGAAATATATCTGGTTAACTATAAAATTAATCAAAAGAGACTAACATAAAATAATTATCAACTAATATAATATTTATACCATACATTACTAAATATAGAAAATTGTATGTTACTTTTGTTTTCATTAATGAACGAGATTTCGATAATCACTTTTTTTATTCTTACTTTCCAACGTGGCAAAATTAAGATGTAAAACAATACAAACCAACGCGTATATATACTAATTCTTTACATTTCAGTTATGAAAAAATGGTTTATTAAAAATAATACAAATTGAATTCTTACTAAATAGCAATACTATAAATATCTAAAGAGCTTTATCTTTTCTCATGAAAATATTCACGTGTCGTCAAATTTTCACTTTCTTATAATCTTTTCAAAATCATTTCACGTAAGTCCTGTGTGTTTAGGTTTTGGCTGTTTTAATACAAACCTTAAATATTTAATATCGTGGCCCTGTCTTTGAATAGTAAACTTGTCTTTAGGTTTTTTATGAATAAAAAGAAACTTGTCTTAGGTATGTATATGCATACATATGCTATCACAAGCATGAAGGTCAAAAGATAGCGTACCTATAAAATCAGATGGAACCTTTCCATTGCCAAATCGACCAGTTGGAATGCCACCCTTGAAATCTTTCCCATATGGAGGAAAATTGCACCTAGCAAATGTTTGCATGTTGTTGTTATTGTTGCCCGTATCCATTATTGAATCTCCGAACACTAACACTGCTGGAACCGACACATTTGGTGGAAATTTCACCACAGCCTTGGTTTTGCACGAAACAACTAACAACAATATGAAACGGAGCATCATAGTACAAATTGAAGAAGGAAGGGATGGACGAGAAGGTAATGTGGTTAAAGGGTCCATGGAGACTAGTTTAAACTAGTTCTTGCTAGTGTTCCTTCCCTTCTTCAGCTGAATTTATTTAATATGTTGGAATATTATTTGAATTTTTTCAGATCTGCAAGGTACAGTTATACGTCATGCAATTGTGTCCATTTAGTTTTAACTCATTCATTGCACTCATGAAATGATTTCATCTAACTTCTGACTGTACGGGCAATTTTATTTATGTTTTTCTTATCAATTTATCCATTTATTCTGCAAAGACCATAAAAATATCAAGGAAGCAGACCATGGCAAGTTGATATTTTAGGTACCTATGCTTTTATTACATTGCTGATTTTGAATTTTGTGGCTTCCAAAGCTGCGTGTACAAGTCAAGTGGATCTGTCAAACGACTCATCTTAGCAAAACAAAGTCTCATCAACTAATTGTTAATGTTGTGTTTATTAACCAGGAATGGAAATGAATGAATGAAATTAATAAGACCAGAAATAAAATTTGTTTATTTTACAGAAATAAAAACGTATTTAAATCTCCATTTTAGCTTGATGTTTTGTTAATTCATCTTTTATATAATTTTGTGAGTCCTAATTCTTAAATTAAAATGATTTTAAATATTATCTTAAATGAAATTGTTTATAAATATTATTTTTCTTTCCATTTTTTTGATTTAATGTTAATTTAAATTTAAAATATATATTTTATTTACTCTTATTTAATTACACAGAAATGTACCATGTTAATGCCGTACCATCACTTAATGATACACATACTTTGACACCAATGACCTATTTTCAAAGTATTGAATCAATGGAGACTAAACTCGTGTAAAAAAATTATTAGTGACTAAATGAAAATTTGAAAAATTTATAGAAACAAATAACACTTTAACCAATATTTGGCCATATTAATAAATTGATATTCGTAATACTAACTTTAGAGTTAATTTTGAATATTTGCAATTAGTTAATTTTTATTTTAAAAATATTTATTATACTTTTAAATCTAATATAATAAATGTTTTTTTTATTTTTAAATGCTGAATTTTAGCTTTAATAATTGATGTTAACATCTTTTTAACAAGTTAATACATTGTTGGACCAAAAATACTAACACATTTAGAATATTTTAACAAGTTCTTTTTCTTCACTACAACTATATAATTAAAACTTTTTAGATATAAATAATTCAAATATAATCCTGCTCTTATGAAATATTATGGATACATTCACATTTTAGAATTATATAAATTAGTTTGTTTACGTGTATCATTACTTGGTTAGAGATTTTTTTAAATAGTTATAGTTCGTTTAAAAAGATACGAAATAGAAAAAAAAAAAAAAAAAAAAAGGAAGAAAATGGTATACGTTCATATCTTATATAGTTAATAACAAGCTTTATATATATATATATATATATATATATATATATATATATATATATATATATAATTTATATTTAAAAAATCACATATATGTTAAAATTTCCCCAATAAATTAATACAAAAAAATTAAACACTAGTTGGGCGCTGTTGTTACATATATGAAAATGCTGCATTAATTCTACTGTGCAACCTTAACATAATCATTAGGTTCTGTCAGTTTCACTTATTTTAAAAAGGAATAAATAATTTCAAATTATTTAATGTGTTTTTTTAATATGTGTGTTTAAGAATATCTGGTAAAAAAAGTGAAATTAAATTAAGTAATAACAATAAAAATTTATTGAAAAATATTAAATTAATTTTTTTATAAATTTTGGATACTTAAAATTAATAAAATTATAATATTTAATATTATCAGTATATTAAATTTTATTATTTTATTTATACCCATCCTTTTTTGTTGGGTCTGAGTTCGTGGGCACGGTGCGCCGCCCTATTCCTCAGGGCACTGTTACTGACTTACTGTATGGTAACATTTTCAGAATTCTAATACTGCCATACACATTTAAGCGATGCTGCGGAACATCACGTTCATTTACTGCTTTGTTATAAAGCAGAATAAGTTAAAAAATTAAAATAAGTTAAATATAATCTAAAAATTTAATAGATAATATATTGTTTAACCTATACAACTATTAATAATTATCAATTAGTTATTTAAAAAATTAAGTTATATGATGCGCGTGCGCACACACAAATTATGAGTAATTTGTCTACCCACATCTGTGATAAATGTGGAAGAACATTTTTTAACCTAATAAAGTAGAATATTGATTATGTTAAAAGATATTACTAAATTATAATTACAGAGACTGCTTTACTCTGCAAGAAGTTATTAAAAAATAACATGTAAGAATTACAAATTTTAAAGCTACTAATAAATCATAAAATCAAATTTAATTTACAGTAATTAGAATCATTCTTCTGATAATAGAATGTAATAGTATATTGCGTTTGTGTTGATAACGTCGATTATTACATTTTTTAAGCTACAGTTTTACCTAATGGCTTACACTTTACTTTAGTTAAAGGATATAAGAAAAATTATTGTAGATGTAATTCAATTGTTTAGCTAAATTTTGTTTACAAACTTTAACACATGAGATATTGTGTCAAATATTTTGGTGTACAACTAAATTAATAAAAAAAGAAAAGAAGAGAGTATAAGTGACAAATCTATTTCTATTTCTCTTCTTATAAGATAAGCAATCTCACATTTATCACCACTCGAAGATATATTAATTTCTTTGTCTATACCATTCAACTGTGAGTGATGTATTGCATTTGCATTATCATTTGTTAATAAAGTGAAGGGTCATTTTCTTTGGGACTATGAAATGGCAGTGAGGTGAGTAAAGACATCCAAAGACAAAGGACCACTTGTGTCTTCTTCGTTCATCCACAATTCTGCTGTTAAAATATAAAATTCAACAATTATATATCAAATACAAAAAAAGAGACATAGGCTTTGGTTGTAAGTAACTATCACATAGGTTTCAGTTGTAAGTAACCATCGTATGGCTGGAAATACAATTTTTTAAATATATTTTTAGTTATTATTGAAAATTTTTAAAAAAATATATAAGTTTTTTTAATTCAATATTTTTTTCATATTTTTATAATTTTAATAAATTTTAATTAATAATTAAAAATATATATTTTAATGCTCTTCTAAAAAATGTTTATTTAAGAAAGTTTGTTCATTTACGACAAAAAAATTACATGCCACGCAGAGCTTTCCACAGCACACTCAATTTAATTTTAGCACAATGATTATCTCAAATTTTGCGTGAGATAAGTGGGCAGAATAGCAAAGGACAAAAAAGAGATATATAAAAAGTATATTGATAAAAAAAAAGTAAATATAAATAGGATTCTTGTTAATCAAAATTTCAAAAGTGTTTATCAAAGAATTACTAAATAAACAGGTTATTAAAACTTATGTAGAAATTGAATTTCAAATTATGCAAATAATAATATTATGTATTTTATGTAGTTTAAATAATATTAATTATTACTATTTCTATTCATATAAAATTTTCAAGTGCAATAAATTGAGAAAATTATTAAATAATCTATAAAAAAACAATTAAATTGTGTAGTGTTTATATATATATATATATATATATATATATATATTCTTTTGAAATAAATAAATAGAAGAAAAACAATATTTTAAACAACTTTTAATGTTTAAGTTTTTAATTAATATATTTAAAAATAGTGAGTAACATTTAATTACAAATAAATTGCAGGGAAATTTGTTTAAGAATCTGAATATTATTTTCATGAATGATGGGGCTTTTTGTCCATCAATAAATTCTTTTGCACTAAAAATACAAAGTATGAATGTTAGGGTCCTTAAATGTGTCTACGTAGTGCCTGTCATACATCTGATGGTTGCGGCAATTACATTTCCGACAATATACTCAAAAGTCAGCAGAGTAGGCAAATGCATTGATTTTTCAAAAGTTAATTTGCAATAAATTTTGTTCAAAATATTATATTATGAAAAAGAATGAACGTAGAAAATAAAAATATCAATGCAATAAAAAAACAAAAACAAAAAAATCTATAAAAGTCATTTGCTACTCATTTGGTTATGTGAAAAATAGAAAATATTTTTAATAGACAATTATACTTTAAAAAAATTATATTTATGAAACGTCATTATTTTATCTTTTTTTCATTTTTTTAATAAATCTTATCAAACAATGTAAATATCATAATTTTTTAATAAAAATTATAAAATAACATTAAATGAAGATGTTGTCCAATTGTCAAGTGAAGAGTTTAACCAGTTAATATCTGACAACAAAGTGAACAAAACACATTGAAAAACTATGATGTACGGGATAAAATGAGAAATTAAAAATTTATAAAAATAATTTAACTTAATTACACTAGCCTATGAGTGTATTATTAATGTTTCTCTTTTTAAGAGATAGATTGTCTTACAAACTCTCAACAATTTTTTTTTAGCTTTTAACAATTTAGTCCAAATGTACTTATCAAAGATAAGAGAGAAATAATGTTACATTTTTTTTAATATAGTAATTTAAAGTACATAAAATTTTAATATTTTTTGTTAAGAGGCTTATATTATAAAATTTTATATATTTATTGATTTAATATCTTCTTTCGACCAAACTCTTTCAATTTAATAAATCGGTAATCGTAGACACCCTGGGTTTAAACAATTAGCAGTAATTAAATTTTATTTAAACAAATATTTATTTTATTTTATAATTATAATATAATTAATATATTTTATTTGATTAAAATTTATAAATTTTACGTCCTTAAATTCAGACTTAAAAACTGATATTAACAAAAAATATTCAAAAAATAAACATATAATAAATTTTTATCAATGTATTTCATCCTCTGATATATGTTTCAGTAAAAACTCACTAATAAGTTTTCATCGCGTCCTTTGGCACATTAGAAAATAATTTTTAATATATTTTTCTTTAAACTCTTTAGACTACTAGTATAAGAGCGAAAAATTATCAAAGGAAGAATACCAATTAATATTTTCTTAAATTTCATATTAACAAATAAATAACTTTTTTCCTTTTCTTTCTCAACAAATAAATAGGAATAAAATAGTATGTATAATTTCTAAAGCAATATTTTGTTATTTGGTTTAATTTTTTATGGTTTAAATGTATTTTATTTTAAAAATATAAATACAGCATGATCCTGACTTGAACTGACCCAAAACAAAACAAAAAATCATATCTACCAATACTAAATGTTACAGGTTTTGATTTAATTTTCTGGCAAACCTAACATAATTATACCCTAACTTGAGAACTTATAGCCCTCCCAAACATTTCCTTAATGTTTTATTATTCCACTTTCAGGGAGATATAAACGATAAAGATAAAAGTTAGAAACAAATGATATTCTGCTATAAATTATAAAACATCACGTAATGTCTCATAAATGCAGCCCAGTTGGCCTAGTGATTTAAAAGTTACCAAATCTCAGAGCTGACGAGCCATCGAATCATCTTAAACCAAAATGAATTTTAACATAGCTATACATGTACAAGTTCAGCATCTATTTTATACAAGCGGACCAACGAATTTGAGGGGGTGAAAAAGAGAAGTAAACAACTAACAAAGCACACCAAGCTCAAAGCACGAAAACGAGAAAAATAAAATGCTGCAGATGAAAATTGGTCATCAAACAAGCCCATAGGTATAATAAACATAAGGCAATCCCCATCATTAATTATCAATGTGCAAGACAGAGATCAGTAAAACAATTGAGTTTTAAACTTGGGAAACATATAGACACCTTCCGTATTAATGCTATCTGAACTCAATGAGCACTCACGAGAAATGGGTGCTGGCAAACTCCACACTCAATGGTCTCTGAACCTGAGCTAGGCACCTGAACCTGCAATAATCACAACAAAGCACCAAATGAAGATGGTGACGGTGATGTAATGATTCTGTGTGGGAGAGAAGCGGGGACAATGGTCATCACTATATCAAACCTGCAGGTGGACTGTGCAAATAGGGCATGCAACTTCCTTCATCCGTCTTCCAGATCCCTCAGGCTTGTAAACTACAAAAATAACAACTTCACTGAGCTGCAGAGATAATTTTCCAAATTTTAACAAAAAATCCAGTTGTTTCACTCATAATCCACACAACAGATTGCTTGAAACCTGCATCCCTTGAGAATTTATGAATCAAAGTCTATATGGGCCCAATTTAGGTAAACTTCTGGATAAGTACTTAGATGAGGTAAAAATCAATATAAAAAATAAAGCATAAAAGCAACTTAAACTCCTAAAATTTAAGAAAGTTAAGTATAACTTCTAAGAAAAGTTTGATTCATTTACTATTTAATTTTTTACCCTTACACGTACTTACTAAGAAGTTTTACAATTAACTAACACAGATGACATTACCTGATAACTTTCGATTTCTCTCCAGCTCCTCCTACCAAGAAATTTACCCGTAAGTAAGATTAACCAAGTAACTAAATAAAGTAGTTATAACCTTCCATGGCCAATAAAAACAACACAGAAACAAACGGTCCCACAGGTTCCAACCATTTACCTGAAGTTTCCTGGCAAGATCCTCATGACTCTGCAATGCAGGTTTACTCGATGACTCTTTAGCACTGTTAAGCCGCTGAGTCACTTCTGCCTATACAGCAACAAAAAACATGGTTTCCAAATTTAGTTTTTCACTATTGACACACTAATTCATTGCCAGTAGGGGAGAAAAGGCCTATACTTGGATATCACATTTAATAGCACTACAACAGTAACGAAGCACAAGCATATTCTACAACACAGTTTTCATTATCTCCAATGTGATTGAGAGAAAGCCAACAAATATTAAACATACCATGCACCGGTCACAAACTCGAACTGGTTGAGCATTCTCATCAGAAGTTAGAGCAATTCTACCATGCGTACATTTGTCACAGAAAATATCACCACAGTTCCTACAGTGATGCTGTGAGAAGCATGAAGAGGACTATGTCATTAGAAACAGAGCACACACAACAGAAAATATTGCTTGAAAAAGGAAACAGCCACAGGGGGATCAACCTTACGAACAAAAGCCCCAAAGTCAGTGCCACATGCTGTACATTTTGAGACAGCTTCATCTGGGACCTATACACAAACAGAACCAGGTAAGAATTTTAATTTTGTACAAGAAACAATGAACACGTAACATAGCTGAACTGAAGCAGGTTAGTACAGTTAGTCAATTAATTTCCTTTAAGATAAACTATTATTCAGAAACATTCCATGAGTCAAAAGGGGGAAAACATAAACATTGATATTTAAATCAACAAAAATACCAACTTCAACAACAATATATGTTCAAACAACCACAATCCACTACAACAGTGCATCCTAGAAAAAAAAAATGGCTTCAAATGAAAAAACAAAATTCATAAAACCCAAATGCATTAGTGTCCTTTAATGAGACAAGGGGAAGAGAAGACAGCTACAGAGCAAGATTGCATCTAATATTACCCAATGATCCTTCTCTTCATTGGCAGGTTTAATCAGATTCATCCAATCGCCAAACCCTTTCTTTCTTTCTGCAGGCTGTTCATTTATTTTCACTGATTCAACAGGCCTCTTGCTTCCACCCATTTCCTTGAACTGCATTAAGGAAATAAGGGTAATTAAGACCATATATAACAAGATTCCCAGTATTGAAAACAATTTAGTAGATGATAAGTAGCCAAAAAAGCCCAGAAAAAGATAGACTGCAAGCTGTTTAATAAGAAAACCTTTAGTGGCCAGGAATAATGTTAAGTTTTTATATCATTGCAAGAGGGATGGTAGAAACTATATGACAGCTTTTAAAGAATATGAACTATAGTAATTGAACATTATGTCCCATTTCATGCATACTGATTCAGTTATTCAACTCTTATATTTAAGGATTAATATGAAAATAATTTAACGACATTGAACTTTCACATGTACTAAAATTGCAACTAGTTAAGGATTTTAGGTATAAATCTTTGTTTGCCAGTGTCAACAGCCAAAATCATCAATTCATGATTACAGATTACAGATCGTATGTCAATAACAAAAGTAAATTTGACATCACTCCAAAAAAGTACAGATAAAGTGCACTCAAGCACCAAATTGATTGGATTTTTGGGTAACCCATATTTATTGCTAGTTCAGAGGGCTAAGCATGCATTGCATTTTCATGAAGTCAATTAGTGAGAAAAAGTTGAGACAGACATGTAACAGAAAATATAACAGAAAGACCATATCCAATGGTAATGAAATCTTAAGAAAATAATTTAAATGTCATGGGCAAAAAGATGATCTTCTATGTAGCTTTTCAAAGAGATAGACCCTCACCACAGTATAAGGTATATTTCAGGAAGAGATTCAAGAGAGAAACGGGATCCAAGCCCAAGACAGTACGGTACACATTAAGACTTAAGCTAACTAACTACCTACGTGGCAAGGAATGCTGATTGTGGGAAAGAAATTCAGATAGATCATAGCCATGTATAGGGAAGAGACTAAGCAAGGGGAATGGAGAGTATGACAAGGTTTTGGGAGAGAATCAGGCGCTCTTGAAACTGCTTGAGTTATCCATATTTGTCTGATATTGTCATCTATCATTCAAATTAAAGCCCCACTGTTACTGGATTTTTTTTTTCTGACATCAATACAATAGAGAAGATATAATTAATAATTCAGCTAGTTCTCTATTTTCCTTTACTTCTGGTCTTGTTATCTATCAGATTGTAACTCAAACAAGCCAAGAAATTACAACTAGATCTTGTCCCAGTGTAACCTTGAAAAATAAAAAAGCCAAATCTTCCAACAGATTTTTAAATAAACATGCTCTAACGTAATTTATCAGAAAAACAAGAACTATTGTTATAAAATAAAGTTGAAAATTCTGAATACCTGTATGGTTGCAGCAGTCACAGTATCCAAAAGTGTGTTAGTAGTGTAGCTATTGGATTGCAATCTGATTCGTCTTGGCTCAATGTCCACCGGGCTCTTTGACCAAAATGCAAAGGTAGATGAATCCATTCTCTGCACAATTCAACAAGAAAAATATTAGATCTAGATAAAGACTATCAGAAAAATAATTAGATTGATATAGTGAAGTTTAGTAAAGGAAATCAAGAAGCTCACATCACATCTTGTTACATTCTCAAGAGGATATATTCTCAAAGTCCGACTGGTATATGGATCCAACATACGAATTCCATCCAAACCAATCTGAGAGAACAAATATTAACAAAGTTACAAAGCCAGATCAGTAGCAATGAATGCAAATCAGACAATATTCTGAGCATCTTTGTGTGGACAAAATTTCCGGATTTCCTGTGTAAGCCCTTAGTCTCCCATAAAATTTACTGTAACAGTTAGTAGAAAAAAGAGTGATATATGAACAAAGGCATGACAGAGCTTTGTTCATTTCTTTACACGAATATGTAGTATCATATTCAAAAGAAGAGAGTAATCCATTAGTTTTAGAATAATTATTAAAAGTTCTAAATATCAGCAAACTTGTCTGGACTGAAATTACTACTATTTTGGCTCAAGGTCACAAACCAGATCCAGCATTGACCTACTTATACGAAAGATCACTCAGCCATTCAATAGTCATCCAATATCCCAACAGCTAGGAAGCAAAGGCTGGTTTAAATAATTGTCGTACCTATGTCAAACACATCCGTATTCATAGATACTTTGGAAACTCTTGACTGCATTTTGCTTCTTTTTTTAAAAGATTTTATGGATATAAATGAAAATACAATAACAATTGGATAAATGATAGTATTTTATCAGCGAATACTTGCTTAACACTAATAATCATTATGTTAGTGTCCCCGTGCCATATTAGCTATGCCGCCAAGCCTGACTAACTATAGTAATTACAACAACAGAGTAAACGAAACAACTCAACTCCACTGAATTGCTGTGATCCGATTCAAAAACAAGTGAAATTGAAGCCTAAACCAGTAGAATAAAATACACAGCCATAACAAATAAACAGCTCTCGTTGCTATCCTCTTCATACCTGACAGAGAACATCCATAGTGCTCTGACCACCACTCTCTGCCAACAGCTTCACCCGAAATTTCTGCACGCCACCTTTCACGTCTTCTTGGGTATCAGCCTTTGGCACTGCCTTCACAATCTTCCCCCCAACAGAAGTTTCCTTCTGAGAGGGGAAACTGATTGACCTCCCATAATCATCAAACGCTGACCACGTCGACGATTTCGGCGCAGTGCCTCGCGCCCCATATGGTTCCACTTTGCCCCCTTCATAAGCATACACACCATCTCCATAACCTTCTTCACCGCCACCTTCGTACCTCGAAACGCTGCCATCGTGACGCTTCCCATAATAATCGGATCCCAAATCGGAACGGCTCCGATTAAAACCACCATATCTATCATCGAAAAAGCCACTCCCATGATCGGGCTTCACCGGATTATCGTATGAGGCTTCGTATGCTGGAACCGGAGGAACGGAGGATCCAGCTGTGTGGCCGTAAGGAGCGGAATTATATAAGGAAGAGTACGAAGCAGTGGAATTGGGGGTGGAAGGAATTGATGAAGGGGGCGGGGCGTAATTGGGAGGCGTTTGCTGCTGATCATAGGGTGGGAAATAGGGTTGAGAGGGTGGTGGTTGGTAAGAAGGGTTGGATTCGAAGTTGGAATTGAAGGGAGGCAAATTAGGGTTGGAGGAAGACGGAGGGTAGGAAGGAGCGGTGGGTGGAGTAGGATCGGGGTTCTGCGAGTAGGAAGGGGGATAGGATGAGGGGTAAGGGGTGTAATCGGAAGGAACGTAATTGGGAGTGAAGGGAGGTGCAGAAGCGTAGGGATTGTTGGGGAGAGGATCGGAAGGCACAGGGTTGGGGTTAGGGTTAGGGTTTTGAAGATGAGGGAATTGGTAATATGGAGCGGAACTGTAATCTCCTTGTTGCATCGCGGATTGCAGGGTAGGGTTTTGATGTTGTTCTTCAGAAAGCTGTTTTGGAAACAGGTGATGATTGATGATGATCAAGCCTCAGGATTTGAGGGAGAAAGGAATAAGAAGTGGTTTGTGAGGTGTGTTTCGCGGGACACGCAAGCTGTAGAAGAAGCGATGAAGGTGTCGTTGCGCAATGTCGTTGGAATTTACTCACTGGGAATCAGGTGCCAAATAAACAAATCCGGTAAATATTATGAATCATTCGCCCTCATAACTTCCTTTTTATTGGGTCAGTCGGTTACACAATGAGAAACCATAGTGCTACAGATAATACAATAATTACTAATCTAATTATTTAAAAAATTTATCTTTATCTATTAGATTTTAAATTTTTATAAGTAGTTTTGAGCGTAATACAAGTTTAGCAAATTTAATATATTTTAACCTTGAGTGTACCGTTAGTATAAACATTAATAGAAGCCTCTACTATCTACTATCTATTGACTGAAACTATTGAGAATTCTAAATTTATTTTAAATTATCTCATTTATAAATCTTACTCATAACTTTTAATAAGTTTTAATTTTTAATAATAAAATTATTTAAAATACTGTGTTAAAGAGTACAAAAAATCTTTTATAAATGTCATTTGAGTTGTTTTTTTTTTTTAATTATTCTTCGAGTGTATGATACCATTGTGCAACATAATAGTAAATTGTTCATTGTTGCACAATTGTTCATGTTAATATTCCACTGCATTTTTCCTATTTGTTATACTAATATTTATTAATATTTTGTATATATTTTGTATCAATATTATTACTATGTAAATATAAATACATCATCAATAAAATATACATTAGTTAAATGCAGTTATAATATTATCTAAAACTTTAGTTTAATCTATTTAATGAAGCATCTATAGATGTTTGAATAATCCGTAGGAAGGAGAAATGACATCAAAAGGGACCAAATAGATTGTAAAGTTTGAAAATTGCGTACCCTCGTTACATTTTTTTCATCTATAAGATTTTCTTTATTAAATATTATAAATAAAGAAAATACATCTATATTTAGATACTTTCTTTATATAGAATTATCCACAGAAAGTTATAAAAGGTTATAGCAAAAGCTCGAAAAACATGTAGAAAGACAAACCAAATGCAAAAATAATAATGATAAACTAAAAATTATCCATGTTCAAGTACATACTAGTTCGGTAGTTCCTAATGAAATATTTTTCGTCTAAGCCATGTATACAACTGCAAGGCAAGCTTAAAATTCCAAGAATAATTGTATCGTGTACTGCTTGAATTTACATGTGCTAGCCTTTTAAGAGACATCCCTGATCCTTGTGTACTCGAGCGTGTTCCTTTTGTCTCTCTCCAAGAAAACTTGAGCGTGAATATTACTAGTGATTTCATATCTAAATCAGCATGGCCCTCACTCCCTATGCTTAAAAACTGAATAGGACAGAAAATGTTAAAACAGTTAAAGCAAGAGAAAATTATTGTGATCGTTCCAGAGTCAGAGAAATCTTTTATTGAATGCATGCCAGAATTTGCCAGAACAGTATGCGATCGCAAATCACCACTATGGCCGCAAGATAAATTACTAGAGCAAAGCATTTATCATTTACTAAGACTCATCAAACTTGAAGAATAAAACTTATTTCACCTCCCCATATAACATTGCTCATCAATTCATAGATTTCACTCATTATAGCTATGCTCGCTCGCCCTAGAAGACGGTCCTATTGCACCTTCCATATCACAAAACCATTTCCCAATCCGTGTGTGCTCTACCATATCTCTACCCGACTTGAGGTGGCGAATTGGTCTTAAAACACCAAAGACAGCAAGATCTGCTAAATTAGGATCCGACCCACCTGCCAAAACCAACAATATAAGCACTTACAAGTGTTCATGGTAATAATGTACGCACCTAACTTATTGTAGCAAATGTGAATCATGTTAGTTGAACATACCAAGAAATTTTCGGCCCTTCAAAGCATCAACCCATTGTTCAGCCGCTCCATATAATGCTGCACGCTCATCACTGATGTTGTGTTTCTTCCTCAATTTCTTTGACACAAAATACATAGCTGCAGCCCCACCATACTTTGCTACCAACCTCTCAGATAAAGTGAAATTGCCTGCATATTTTGAGGGAAACTTCTAAAATTGTTTACACACCATAACATGCTAGACTGCAGGATAAAAAGCAAATAAGGTTAAGAGAGAGGAAAGTAGCAAAGAGTGAAGGGGAGTGATTAAATTAATCTGGCATGTATGTATTGCCTTATAAAAGGCATACAATTAATATAGTTTTCAATGGTTGGATTAAAGCTTCCTCTCTGTCTCTCTTTTGGTGTGCCTCAAGTTCAAGATATACAATCATTACAGACATGGAGCGGTGGTGATACAGTCGTACAGGGTTACATAAATCTGAAGAAGCAAAACAGTTTGATGAATCATGTCTGTTTAGCATTATGCATCCAGAGGGACAGGTTACTTGTTAGTACTTAATATCCATTCCAGTATGCATATTTTACGGTCACTACAGAATAATCAACTTTGCATGAAGTAATTGAAAATAACAAAGAATTATCAGATCTAATAACGAATTCTCTCCATATTCAGAAAATGACAGAGTAAAACACTGATTAGGAGAAAATTAATATGCTTCAAACTTTCAAAGTGTTTCAAAACTGTATGAGGTCAGTCAGAAACACATAATCTGCTTACAATTCATATATTAGCTGCAACCTACAATCAACAACACAGCATCATCTGTGCTTATACGTTAAACAATCTTTTTGTTTTCCATTCTGAAAGTAAAAAAAAAATTACAGTTTACAACAGAAAAACTTTTATTCAAAACTTACCGTGAGTGGTGATATATTCAAATGATTCAAGAGCTTCCGGAACAGTTCGATATATGTTTGGCGACAAGATATGCACCAAGTGATTATCCACCCACCTATACAACAAGTCACACCCATCATATGCTCACATGATACACAAATAGGCAGTGTTTAGAAGAACTTATGAAAACTTTATAGAAATAATTCATTATTCTATTAGCTCTTTCCAACTTATTTTAACAAGCTTCTTTGTATAGCTTATAAGAATAAGCACTTTATAGCTTATTTAAAAAAAAATTATGGTCAAATTTATAGGAGAAATTATAAAAAGAACTTATTAAATAAACACTTTCCAAACACACCCTAATCTTGCATCCAATGTTACAAAAAGACCACCAACAGTTGCAACGTAACCACGCTTTACCAAAGAAGAGAGAAAATGTTAAGCAACCAAGTAGCCCAAAAATTTATTAAAAAAAAAAAAAGATAAAGAAGAAAAATCATTAGAAAACGATAATAACCAACATACTCACGCCACTTTTTCTCTTCGTCTGCATTTAGGTCATAATCTGGACGTATCCTTTTAATCAACTTATCAATTATGTCTGCAAAATAAAAATAAATAAATAATAGGCACCTGAAAAATACACACAAATGAAAGCATTAAAAAGAGAGTTATGAACCTGAAGAATCAACCATTTGTTCCCCATCAACGGTCACAATAGGCACCTTCTTGTACTCAGACCACTTAATCTCCTTCTTGTTGATCGGATTTACCTCCACAATTTTGTACGGAACATCATAATAGTCTAGAAACGCTGGGAAAATCAATAAAATAAATTAAGAAATTTAATCTTTAATTAAGATAAAATTCCGATTAATTAACTATAATTTGTAACAGAATTTCACCTTTAACCTTGTTGCAGAATGGACAAGCCTCGTATTGGAAGAGGACGACTTGTTTGGGTTTGAAGCCCACTTCGGAACCCTTGGCATGGTGGTCTTGGGCCAGCGACGTAGCAGCAGAAGAAGTATATGTAAAGCCTGTGACGCTGCGAGAAACAAAGGGACTTGACAGGCCCAAAGGATGAAAGATCTTGCGAGGGTTAGGACTAAGGCATGTGGTGGCATAGGGAGCCACTCGCGGTTGTCGGTGGAGGGTGGCAACGGCGGTGGAATTGCTGCTTAAGGCTCTGCCTATAAATATGGTTCTGTTCACCCCTCTCATCCTCGCTATTCGGTAATCTGCCAAACGCACTCTGCAAAATCACTGTAAGAAGAGGGACCGTTTGGCAATCAGGATTATATACTACAGGGTTTAGGGTTTTTCTTCTTAATTTAAATAAATAAATAGGACCCATCCCATTACCCAACTTAGGCTGTTTTTTTTTTTTTTAATGTGCTTTTTGGGTCAGGTTAACGTATGGTTTGTGGACAAAAAACTAAAACAAAGGTTTATATCACTATGTCAATATGGGAAATCATACTCATTCGTGTGTTGTTTTTATTTTTAATAATACTGATAATGTTCTTAGTAATGTAAGTTTATAATTTATTTAAATTTTCTTAACTTGTTTTATTAATACGTTGATAGAGTTATTTGGTGAAAAAAAGAGAGGATAATTGACAGTTTTTAAAAACTAATTTATAAAAAAAACACTATAAATGACATTTATATTTTATTTTATGAAAGTAGTTAAAAGTTTATAACTTAATTAATTGATTAATTTAAATTTATTCAGTAAAGTCAGTTATGCAACTAGTTAAAATGTTTCAAATAACTCAATAAAAGTTAAGACGAATTTGTATGAGTACACGTTATTTAGAAAGTCAAGAATGGAAAAATAGTTTGGTTATTAGCTTTCAATATGATAAATGCTAATTCTAGTAATTTTTACAAACTAACTTTAAAAAAACACATTTCTTTACTTTTTATTTATCAAGCACATTAGTTTATTAAAAAATTACAAGTTTTTAAATAAATTATAATTTTCTATTGTTGAACTCACTTTTAACTTATTCAAAGTAGATACTGTTGTTTTATTCATTTTCACTCTTGACCTTTAAATTTTTTTTTATTATGAAAGTGCTCGCAACTTAATTCATCAACGATTTAATAATTTGATAATTTTAGAAAAAAATGTTTACCTCACTTTCAAGACCGGAGTTAAAGCAGTTAATAATAATATTTTAATAAAAAAATATATTAACACTAATTCTTAAAAGTTGAGTTTAAGCAATTACTAAATTTAATTTTTAATAAAAAAAACATTTTTTTCTTTCTTATAACTTTAATATAATATTTTTTTTAAGAATTTTTTATTCTTTCAATTACTTAAACTTAACTTTAAAAATTGTAGTTAATAAATTTCTTTAAGTGTTAACACTAGCCCTTATATATGAGTTTAAACTTAATAATAATACATTTAAATTATTAAAAAAACATTTATCACCTTTTAAAAACTTTAATGTGATAATTGTCTTAATTTTTAATAAAAATCTATTACTTTTAAGGACTTAAGCTTACTCATAAAAATTTAAGTTAAGAATTTAAAAAATATTAATTTTAGTCTTTAGAATTAAACTTAAGCAATTAATAACATTTATTATTATAAATTTATTATTATAAACGAACAGTTATTACTTTTTTATAGTTTTACTATAGCAAATGTATTTAAGATAATGCAGAGACACAAACGTGTTACCAAGACAGCGTTTAGTTACCGTCCTGGATACTGGATACTGGAGATAGAGACATTGAGACAATAAAAATAGAGACACTAGTGTTTTTTTTTTTTTATATATAAATTTACCTTTTGTGTCTCTAGAGCTGACACATTAGTGTCTTTTTTTTTAGAAAGTACACTGATATCCTTTAAATTTATGTCTTCTGTCTCTCTAGCAAGAGACTAGTCAAACATAATATGCATACCTCCGTCTCAGTGTCTCCATCCCGCAACCAAACCTTGCCAAAGAGACACTTGGTTTGGATCTGGATCTCCTGCCGCTGACTGAACTGCACAGGATGCAGTTTTCCATCTACGGCAAGTAAATTTTTACAAGCATCTTTCATCTTTGATTTAATACAAATAAAATCAAGTAGGAGTTTTTTTTTTATGTACAAATCAAGCAATTTTAAAAGGTTAGGGAAGCATTTAACTGCAGGAGATCGAGATGGACAGATACAAGAACACACCTGTACAATACAACAACGTAAATATTTTAATGGAACATCCCTTGGTCCAAAATGGAATTTATCCTTCAATCAGAAACAACATCCAGTAAGTGTCAAACTTAAATGTGCGACAATTGGCCAAAACCATTAAAGAAATTCATAGATGACATCACAAGTAAGGGCCATGAATATGACCGCACTCACAAAGCAAGCAGTATTTTTGTAAGCTGCTAACATATATAATAACAAAAGGAAATAGATCGACACTGAGCATATGTAATTGACCTAGTAGTAATTACAGAGTATGAAATAAGACAAGGCTGTAATCAAGTGATTATAAGGCCCTAAGATGTCAGTCCAAACTATACACGGCTTCCTGCTCTCGCTACAGAGGATAGAGAACAAAACAAGACAAACTGATGGAGAGGCAGCATTAAAGGTTGGCTGGAATGTCACTACCTCCTATTAATTTCCGATTCTTAATCACAATATTGAGCAAGCCTTCTGGGCCTTTCTCTTCTTTCTCTTTTGCTTTGGTGGTTGAAGAACCACTTTGATGGCAGCATCAAAAACAGCTTTCACATTCTGTTATTCCAGAAGCACATGAAAACCCATAATACAAACATAAGGAAAAATAACCACTGCATAAATGTCAAGGAAGAGAACTGCACCTGCTGCGTTTTTGAACTACACTCAATATAGGCAGGAGCACCAATCAGCTTTTTTAAATCTTCTCCCTTCAACCAAAGTAAAGACAAATATCAATCAATGTGTAGATCAACATAATTTCCAAATCAAGAACTCATGCCTCCCTCTCTACCAAAAGAAAGGGGATATAACAAGAAAATCTATGGTATTTCATACCTGTGCCGTAATAATCGGTACTGCACCAGGGTGGTCCATAAGAAATTGCTTATCATCCCGAAGATCTGCATGCCAAATTAAGCATTTACAGTTGTTAAATCATTCAGCATTGGAGAAGATGAATTGGCTGAAAATTTTTTAACCAGTATTCACCACAGAAATGAATTTAATAGTGAACTAGTATCCTGGTAAGAAAAAGAAATTGCCACTTTTCTCATGCACAATCAGAACCTACATATACAAGTCTTGTGAACTTTGTCCAGCATCTATTTCCTTCAAACAAAAACAAATCAAACTAGAATTCCCACAACTCCACTACATTGATGCTAAACCAATTTATTTTTTCATCATTTCTGAAATAAGCAATGAGAAATGTTAAGTCTTCAAATTACTGTTTGTCTGTTTAACCATTTCATACTCTAGGTTGGGGTGTGCATAAAAGAAACTATGAAGCAACTGACCTCGAAGAAAAAAACAAAGGCAAGATTAGAAAAAATTTGATGGGATAAGGCAATAAACTGATGTGAACAACTGAACTTTGAAGTCAAGAAAACCCTTATGGCCTTTTAAATTACCAAAGCTATGCAGGTAGCTCTAACAAGATCATCTGAATTGTTTACGCAACAATGATATGCCAATCCATTCAATGAAGGAAAGGGGTAAAAGGCTTACCTAACTTTGTTCCAACTAGAATAATTGGAACACCAGGGGCATAATGCCTTAGCTCAGGGATCCACTGAAGGAAAAACCAAAAATAATAATAAAATGTCCTTTATCAGTTACATTTAAGTACAGAAATTAATTTAAACGATCATCATCCTAATTAAATTCTCCATATTCAAGGAATAAACCTTCTTTGCAATATTTTCATAGCTAGCCTTGCTTATGAGAGAAAAGGCAAGTATAAAGACATCAGCTCCTCGATAGCTCAAGGGTCTTAGTCTATTATAATCCTCCTGACCTGTTAATCAAACAACATGTTAAACCGCCAGAAATTAATAATATGCTGAAAATAATAGTTGATTCTATACAATTGAATCGGTTGCAATGTTACCAGCAGTATCCCATAACCCCAGATTTACGGTGCTTCCATCCACAACAACATTAGCACTGAAATTGTCAAATACGGTGGGCACGTAGTCCTGAGACAGATGATGACAAACATAAACGAAAAAGGGTGAAACCACGGAGTTATAATTTTTCGGAAGAACAAAACCAAGAAGAATTGGAAAGGTGACAAAATAAAATAAAATAAAGTAGTAGCAGTACAGCCCTACTCCGCTCCAGCGCTCTAAGTGAAAATACAAGCAAATTCTCAAACTCAAAGCACATAATATAACCGCTTAAAAAAGATACATCAAGGTTAGAACCATATAACAGTATCAGTCAATGAGGCTAAAAAGAGATATAAAGTTTAATTTATTCCAAAACACGGGAATAATAATAATAACGATCATAATAATAACGTTAACTCGAATCTCCAAATTTTAAACGTTCTAGACCAAGTCAAACATCACTTCGAAACTCCAAATTCAACAGAAGGTGATAACACGCACTTTAACTCCTCCGCATATATCTCCAATTTCAGCTGCAAATCCTTAAAGTTAACAAAAAGGAAAATATTCGTCCGATTTCAACCTAAGCGGAATAATTTCCAGCAACAGAAGAAGAACAAGAGTGAAGCATTAATAGCGAACAAGGGTGAAGCAGAAACGAACCGTGGGGAAAGTGTTGCTGGTGTAGGAAATCAACAAGCAGGTCTTGCCGACAGCACCGTCACCGACGGTGACGCACTTTATGAACCTGGAAGCACTCATTTTCAGATCAGGGATCTAAAAATGCCTCCAACTTCAAACACCGAAACCAAGTTCAGGGTAAGCACGAAACGAACCCTAATTATTATTTTCAGTTGCAGGTAGAAAAGCGAAGGAGTAAATGGGGGAAATTAAATTGAATTTGAATTGAATTTCGCAAATCAAATTCAAAAAGAGAGAGAGAGAGAGTAAGGGGAAAAGAAGAGAAAAGAAAAAGGTTGTGAGACACTTGGCTGACTGTGACTGACCCAGAGACAACCTTTTGCCAGCTATCTAAAATTCATGTGACTATTAGGTCCTCCTCGTCCTACCCTCAACCTAATAATCATTCATTCCAGTTAATTAATTAAATATTTTTTCTTGTCCTTTTAATTTCTTGTTGTGTTTCTTTTTGTTTATTATCTATTTTAAATTCTTAAAGTATAATTTCAAATCAACAAAAAGGCACAAAACAGAACGTTAGTTGGACACACCTCATTAAAAAAGAAAAAACATTAGTTGGACAGACGAATGATTGTCTTGATCCTGCGTGGTTGATTGAGAATATATTCAGACCCCTAAATTAATCTCACAATAGAACAATTGCCTTAATTTTATCAATTATTATGTAACTATGCATTACAGAAAAGTGTTCCGAAAACTTTTACGCAAGTGATCAAGGACAATTTACGTCTGTGAACGATTTTTATGGGTCTACTAATTTCGAAAATATTAAATCGTAACGTGATATGGTGAAAAAAACATGTTGATATAGCTAACAAAATAATACACTATGCTTACGTATATGCAAATACAACACCAATGTAACCAAGAGAAAATATATATACCATGATATAACAGTTGCAAAGGAAGTGAAAATCACATATTTGAATTGGGACTCATTAGTAATTGGAAGCAATAGGTTTGTTTGCATATTTGTGAAAAGCAAGTTGCGGTTGATTTGTTTAATTATTTGCACAAAATTGTTTGGAAGATGAAGATAACATGGCGTTGACTGCGTACCAAACTTGTGTACATGCATGAGATGTTTGTTGGTGCAAAGGTGTGAGGACGTTGAAGGAACATGGGAAGGGTAAAGTACGACCTCCATGTGTTGTTGCCAACTCCTAACTTTCCCTTCCACGACTCTTGCTCCTTATTTGCCAAGTTTGAGATCACAATGTTACCATCTTCACTCCGTCGTCTCTTCGTAATTGGAGGAGAATAAAAGGGGATTTTTTGGTCCTCATGTTAGAACAAACCACCATTTTCGACAAGATAAAAACATAGTATAAAAAATTAATAAAATTATTACATAAATTACAAATAGTTTATGCTTATTGTTCATTTTTTATATTTTTTGCAGAACTTGTCTAAAAGTTCTTTATTTAAGGATATAAGATATTTCTTTAATACTTGAAGTAGATAGATGTGCCATCATTTATTCATCAGCACGTAATCTATGCATAAACGGACGCTGATCATGCTGAGATATCTTTATATTACGAGGCTTTTGAAGATTTCATGGGAGCTAATTATTGTGGGGTTTGAACGTTGGTGGTTTCTCAATATTGTTTGAAAATTTCTTTTTAAGTTGTTTGGGATTTGTTGAGTAATGATTGTGTGCCCAGAAATTTTTTCTTTCTCGACATGTTTGTTTCGTAGCCCGTTGCCCCTTATTCTTATGCATTTTTTCAACTGTACTTGATTATTCTTAGGCATTGTTCCATCTAAACTTGTTTCGTATTCCTACCTCGCGGGAATTGTCATCCTATTCTGCATAAAAAAAACTGAAAAGGAGAAGGAAACCAGGAAAAATTTGCAAAATAAGGGAGAACGAACCTGTTTACACACGAATCTCAATGCATGCACTCTTTTGTTTATTTGACCATAATTTGATCCTTAATTAGTATTAATTACGGTAATATGTAAACGGTAATTAAGAAATTCTATCACCGCGATTTCAAATATTAGGTTCACAAATTTGATCCATTTTTCAAAGGTAAAATTTCTAGTAGTTTCAAAATTGAGAATGTCTTTATATATGCCACTGTTTATTATTTTAATGTTTAGATGACATGTGTCATTAATTAATCTACGTCAAATATAAGCTTAGTTCATTTTAATATAGTTTTTATTTATTTCAAATGACATCAAAAGATTAATCTAAAATTTTTACTGCATTTTATTTAATATTTTTTTTTCTTAAATGAGAATGACCATAATTGAGTGATCCATTTGCATTAGCGCCATAAGCACAGATAATTTAGGTATGTTAGCAAAATGAAGAATCATTCAACTTAATAGCTAAAAGAACTTATAAGCTTCGCTGTTAACGAAAGAATAAAAGATAGATGCACCCCAATGAAAAAAAATGTAAGAAGGGGAGAGGGTAAGGGCTCAAATATTAATAAATGGTTGTGATGGGTGATAAGGTGTGACAATGCATATAAAATTTATCTATCAATTATATAGTTATATTGAAGCATGTTATCTTCTGTTCTATTATCACTGTTTAGTGTCATGTATGCTCTCATCTCCATCTTCGTCTTCGTCAGTAGTTTCTTCTCCTTTCTTTCCAAAAAAACCTGAACTTTATTCCATCTTCTAAGTGTTGCAATTGTTTGCAATTATATTAAAAAAAATACCAAGTATAAAAACTTATTTATATTAATATTATGTTCTAGATTTAACATATAGTTTATTAAAGCAATAAATGTTTAATTTCTCTTAAATAAGATGTAAAACTTAAATATTATATGGGTATTAAAAAAGTTGAATAAAAAGGTTAGTCTTAACATATTATAAATAAGTTTAGCTCAAAAAATGTAATTAAAAACTCAATATACTGCACTTAAAAATTATATATACAAAAATATGATTTTTTTTAAATTACAAAAATATAGTGTTTAAAAATCGTTAATGACGATTTTATATATAAATAAAAAAATTGAAAATTGAAAAAGTGATGAAGACTAAAAAATAATCTTTATAATTTTTTTAAAAAAGTGATTAAAAATAATAAAAATTGCCAATAACGATTTTAAAAAAATCATATTTTGATAATTTTACCACAAATCTCATATTTTGATATTAAAAAAAAACCATAATAAAAAAAATTCCAGATTATTACACGCAACGTGAGTTCTTTATGACCGTAACAGTTTAGTTAATATATTGTACTATTACTTTTTTTTCCCATCAACTAAAAATATTACACAGGTATTTTTCAAAATAAGAAAAAATAAAAAATTATTTATTAATAATAAATTCTCTACTGCATTAAAACAAAACAAATTAAAAGGATATCTTTTAAAATGTTTTTATTTTATTTTATTCAGGAAGTAGGTCAAAAATTTAAATTAATTTAAATAAGATTTAAAAAATAAAATTAAAAACACCATCAGTGTATCTTAGGGTCAACTCCATGCAAAAACTAAAAAGTTATGTCTCATCTTGTTTTTTCTTTGTGTGTAAAAAACATGATTTAGATAATAATAATAATAATAATAATGGTTTAGTTACACCTTTCATTCTTATACTTTAATTTATGTGTGATTTTAGTATTTTTTAATTTAAATTATTTATATTCAGCTATTTTAATATCTAATATTTAAATTTAAGTTTTTCATCCTAAAATGTTATCAACTAATTAATAAAAATACAATAGAAGTGTAATAATTCACTAATTTATACATATACAATATTTAAATAATATATATATATATATTATTTTTATAAATTTTCATAATACAATGATATAATATTTAAAAAAATACAATTACATTATTAATTTATGAAAATTTATAAAGAAAGATATATAAAATAATTAAATAAAATAAATACAAATTTTATTATATTTTATAAACTTTAAGTTTAAATATTATATAGGTATGTTTTATTTGTTTATATCAATAAGATGTTATACTTTATTATATTTTTATTATTTATTAAATAAATTTTAGAATAATATTCAGCAAAAATTAGAAAATACTTTTTTATATTTTTATTTGAATATTTTTTATTTTTTTATATCAACAATACATCTATTATATTTTTATTAATTATTGGATACAATTTTAGAGTGAAAGATTTAATTTAAACATTTTAAAATTTTGATAAATAAAATATAATTAATTAAAACTAAAAAAATATTGTTTAAAATATAAAGACCAAAAAGTGCAATTGAATCTAAAAATAACAATGTAAGTTTTTTTTATCATATTTTATTTTTAAAATTCATGTAATTAGCAAAATATAATACATCTATTTTTAGGCTTATCCTAGTTAATTTTGGAAGCTTTTATGTAATAATTGTCATACTTTTTATTGTATTCTATTTATTTATTTTGTATATCTTATCATTTTGTATTCTGCCGAATCCATGAAGAAGCACTAACTTTCAAAATGAACACTGCATATTTTGTGAAGGATCGATGAATTCTAAACAGCGGCCAAAAAATGGAGAGCTAATTAATCCTATTTATTTTTTGCTGTTTGTTTCAAAGGAAAGATGAAAATCTTTTCAGTACAAATTTGAGATCATAATTATAAATAACACAAGGAGAAAATACACACACAGATTAAGGAACTGATATACCCAACTGATAAAACACATAATTTTGCGTGCACCCCAATTCAAAAAACACAGGTGGCACGCGAAATCAGCAAACGAAACAAGGCACTCCCTTTTTTCAAAAAAGAAAAAGGGGAGTCAAAGAAAGATATTCATCAACATCAACCACCCCCAATCAGCAATTTACCCTCGCCGATCCTTTTATTTACACACTAAACATAATAAACTAATAATAATAAGTATTAAGTAACGTGGCCCAACGAAGCATCATATTTCATGCTAGCTAATTAAGCTATACACGATCACGCAACGTGGAGAGAGATTTATTTAACAACTTCAGTCATCATCAGAGGCGTAGAAGTCGCCGGAGATTGTTGGTTGCTCCGGCATCCACACCTCTAGCAGCTTCAGCGTTGCAACTGAGTTTCGACCTAATAGAAAACTTTGGCAACGGCAAGCTGCTAGGTGGCGGAGACAGATTGAAAACCCACCCTGAAACCATCTCCTCCACGTTATTCCCCTTCCCCGGCACCACCTTCGACGTTAAAAGATGCCTGGGTAGGTCTTTCGGGTCGGGTCCCCAACGATTATCAGAAGCCACGATCAGAATAGATTGTGTTCCTGATCTTTTCTTCACTTCCTCTCGCTTCGTGGGTTTCGATTTCTTTGGCGTCAGAGACATGTCTTTGGTTCTGTTTTTTCGACTCGGTGGTGGGAGAGAGAGACCTTGACGTAACAGAGGTTGATGCTGGTGATGTTGAATTGGGGAAACGTGGGGCAGAGGAAGCAGAGGTGGTTGCTGGTTGAAGACTGAAGCTGAGAGAGGGTAGGGGTGAGAGAAAGACGCGGCGCGTGAGGGAGGATTCAAGAGACCTGCATACGTGTCAAAATTCTCAGACGGGTTATTAGAAATGAAATTACCTTGTACGTTTTTCTTCGGGGTTTTCATTCTGATTTGCTTGTTGGGTGCAATTGATTGTTCCATTGAAGATAAGACTGCGTTTGGATCGAACAGTGAAAAAAAAAGAAGGAAAAAACTAGCAAACAGGCGATGATCTTCTTTAAAACAAACGGATCAGTAGCCTGTGAATTAGTGTACACAAATATATACTATATGGCGAAAGCACGATCAAACCCTTGATCTCATAAAACCAGATCAGAAGAAAAACCCTCTATCTATGTATGATATATATATGGTAACAACGAAAACATATGAACATGAAATCTTTTGTCCAAGGGACCCTGATGATTTATTTTAGAGAAGATGGGTCTTCCTTTATTAAGCGAATGGCTCTCTATGCTCGTACACCTTTTAATACATGCCAAAATCGAATGCTCAGCGGCTTTTTTTTTTATTAGTTAAAATGTTATATTTGCACTTATTTTAATACAAATTATTATCTTAGGTCACGATTTCTCCTAAATTACCGACAACCGTTGCGGTCGGCAACCTTACATTTGAGTCCAATAGACGAATACTACCGTGGGGAATACTGTAGGGCGGCAACCGCCGAAACGTTGAAGACCGTTGGATTTTGTCTTTATAAATAGCCGTTGAGAAGAAAGTGACCGTTGATATGTTCATCGGGTTCCTCGAAATTAGTCTGAGTCAGACAAGGTGGGAAATATCCCAGCCATACACGTCTTCGTTGTGGTGGGTCCCACCTTTTGATATTTGTTTATTGCCCCGTGACCTCATGTGCCGGGAATAACTCTCCACTTCCCATTTTTTAAATATTATAAATAAATAACACAGCTTGGGTGACGTTATATTTAGTGTGAGAACGACTGTCGTTATATTTCATTTTCTTTAAATATAATTTCGAGTTTAAATTTTAAGTATGATTTTTCTGTTGTGAGAGTTAACTTCAACATATTAAAAAGTTTTAAAATATGTTTAGTTCTATTGTTTTTTAATAAATTGGTAATATTAGGTTTTATATTGGTATAAATTTAATTCCTTCTTGTACGTGCATTATTTCTCACGTGAATGTAAAGCGAGAACATCATTAAATAAGGTTTGGTGGATTTTATAACCTAATAAAGACAATAAACAAAATTAAGAAAAATAAGTATCGCGGGCTGAGGAATCCCAAGGAATAAACTTGCAACAAAAAATTGCAAACTATGACGCTGAGCAGAAAAAATATCTTCCATGGTTGTGTCATTGTAGAATATAAATGGCAAAAGACTTCTTCACAATAAAGTTAAGTTTTATTTATTTTTTTTGTATATGATAGCTCACGATTTATTTGATGTACGTGAAAAGCTTATTTTAAGTGAATTGTGAGTTCGAGCATAACGTGAAAAGTTTCGTTGAACTTCAATTGTTTGTGAGCTTCGAGATAGGCCAAGCTTCGTTAATCAATTAAGTATTTTTACTTCCCCGGAAAAATAAGATTAATTTAGTTATGTGTATGAACTTGATCCAATCTTGGATCGATGTCATGAGTTATCGTTAGGCTGTTGATTGAGTAAATTGCTATTTTTTTGCTTTGTATTTTTTTTTTTACTTGTCCATGTGTCAAATAAATACTCTCTTTCAGTTTATGATCTATTATCAAATATACCGTATTAATATCTGTTATTAATAAATGTCAATAAGTCCCAATAAAATAACTCTATATTAGAAAGTATATAATCTAAGAAATTTTATCAGTAATACACTTTTTGCACTTTTTATTATTAGTTAAAATTATAAAAAATAATTTAAAAGCGACAAAAGTAAAATTTATATAATTTTTTATTTTTTACATTTTGTATTAAAATCATATTTAATTTATTACATGTTGATGAATAATTTTGTTTTGATTGAAAATAATATAAAAATTATTCTTAGATTCTATCGTTCTTAAAATGAGTGGATAGAGCAATTTGCGAAGAGTGCGACACAGAAGGATGACGCGGGTCCACCGACCACCGATTTGATTTTCCAAGGTTACCTAACAGAAAAGAACAGAAAAGACTCAATTTGTACGTTTTTCTTAATACTTAATAAAGATTGAAAGTGAACTATAATAGTATTTGATAAAAAATAATAATTTTTTATTTCGCATGTTTATAAATTGTTTTAATTGGTAAATAAAAAATTCAATAATTTTTATATTTTAAAATTATATATATATATATATAGAGAGAGAATAGTATTAAAAAAAAATAACGAAGTCCATTCCATAATTGTAAATTTAGAATGGTTAAACTTAATTATTGTTAAAAGTGTGATATTTTATTTATTTTGATCAATGATTTTTTTTTTAAATAATATACTTTAATCCTTGAAAAAAGAGTAAATGTTATAAAGTTTATAAAGTATATATTAATTAAAAAAAAACTGATTATTTTCTATAAGAACTAAAATAAAACTGAATATCTTTAATCTAAGATGTTTTATAATCTAATGTTTTCACGATAAAAGAAGGTAAAAATATTATACAAATTTATAAGTGAATAGAAAATAAAGTAAAAAAAGCAGGTTGCTATAAGTTCCATGTACGTTGTTGAATATATATTGATAAAAAGACCTATAAATTTTGTTGTTTTTGATTTTTAAAATAAACATTGTAGATTTTAGTGACTGTAAGATGATAATATAATGAAATAAGAATTTGTCAGGAATTAATGTTTTACATAAATAGCTTTAGTGAACGAGTGTAAAGTAATTTCCTTTATAAAGGTATAAAAACTAATATTAAAAAATTAACGAAGATATATTTAAGCGGGAAAATGAAATCCCTACGGGCTATAGCCTAGGGGTAATGTGGGATCGTGGTTTTCTCATAGGTCGGTTCCTTGGCTGGTGGCGTCGCTGTCACATGTCAGGCACTTTCAATTCAGACCAAGCTACGTAAAATTTACTCCTCCAATGAACAACGTTCGTTATATTATATATTATATTTATATTAAAGCCAATGGATAAAATTTAAGTGTAATATTATAATATTATTTTTAATTTAATTAAGATCATATTTAAATTAAATAAAAATGCATCATGACTACTGTTATCTGTTTTATTTTATTTTTATTATAATAAGTTATTAGATGAAATGTGACTCAACAGTAAATTAATTAAAAGGAATTATCTCAGTTTAACTGTCGAATGAAAAAAGAGTTATGTGATTGTTATCTATCAACATTGAACTAATTTGCATCCGCTTGTAATAAATAAGATATTAATAACTTTACAACCTTCACTTGCATTCGTGCAAATTTTCAAAAACTCATTAACTAAAATAATTTAGAGATTTATGCGAGTTTATTCGTGTTTGAATTTACGTCGAAAAAAATAAGCATAGATTTAATGTCATAATTATAACAATAACGTTGAAATAAACCTAAATTTATGATTAGTCAGTCATTATGTCAGCTTTTTATCAATGGGTCGAATTAATAAGTATAGTCTTCTACACAACTAAAACATTTAAACTGTGATACTGAAACAAGTTCAATTCCATGTACCAAACGGATGATTCAAGGAATGGCAATTTAATCTAACAAACGAAGGTGAATAATTTAAAAAAATAAAAATAAAAAGAAGACATGTTTTTTGTTTAATACTACTATACACAAAATTAAATAATTTAGGAAAATATAACTTCACGAATCGCCTTACTTTTTATTATCTGTTTCTCAAATAAAAAAAGGAAAGTATATTAGATTCCGAGTTTTATCATAATTTACATACCTCTCTTTGTTACATATAGAAACAAAAATATAGGAAACGAAACAGACACACACACCCTACTGGTTACACTCTACTCGATGCTGCTAATATGTTTGTTTAAAAGTGGGTTTACGGTGCATGATAAAAAAAAGGAGAATACCTCTTCTATTTAATTTATTTGTTTTATAGTTAAATAAATCTTATTTTTTAAATTAATGTTTTAAATTTGAGTCAATAAATAAAGTTTATTAAATATTTAAAGAAAAAAAGTTTTTTTCTAACTCTGAGTAAATAGATAATTTAGATTATTAAAAATTTCCATTGAAATAACTTTGACAAACAACTTTTTTTTGTAAAATAAAAACTTAAATTATTCAAAATGTTAAATCACTTAACTATAAATAAACAATTTAGATATTTTTAAGGTGTATTTAGATAAATAGTTTAATTAAATATTTAGATAAATTCCAATTATGTAAAGACTTGTGCTGTAAATTTATTAAAATAATTTAAATAAAAATATCAAAATCAATTAATTTTCTTAAAAAAGGTTTTTTACAAGCTCATGTATTTTTTTTAATAAACTATTTGAAACAACCTAATGATGTGTGCCGCGATTGATAGATAAATTGTAAGAACTATGATTTTTTTTTTTACTTAAACAAAAATAGTTTAGTTCAAATAAAATAGACAAAACAATAATTTTGTTTATACAAATTGTATTTTTTTTAGATAAATTTTGTATAATATTTTATTACTTTTTTATTTTCATTTAGGTGAATCGTTTTATTAAGTAAAAATAGACTGAAGATCCCATTTTTAACACAAAGGTATATCATGAAAGTAATTTCAAAATTCTTTTGAGAAATATACATTGGAAAGCAAAGTTTTTATCTTGTAAACTTTTTGACAAGAAAATTCTAAACCAAACATGCTGATATCTGTTAATGCTTCGTGATAGTACCATTTCTCCAATTGCCTGTTTATTTATTTTTTATTATTGTTATTACATTTCGTCATTTTCTTTATCAGTCAAGAAGATGCAAAATAAAAGCGAAGGAACGGGACTTGCCATTTTTTTAGGATGAATGGGCCTTAAAAAATCGAAACATCATAACATTTACACAAGGCGCCAAAATTTCAAACGCCACGTGTTTTTTTTGTCTTTTTAGTAAATTGACGAACGATCGGTGTTTTGAAATCCCAAACTTCCGCTCTTTCGAGTTCACCGGACGGAGACAATGGACCCCAACACTTCCCCGCCGTGCCCTACCACCGCCACCGTTCGTCGGAACCCTCACCGAAGAGCTCGCGCCACTCCCAAAACGACTCCGCAAAGCTTCGACTTACGTGAAATCCCGCCATTCCCCCACGACGACGTTTTGTCTGCACAAACACCAGAGAGCAAGTCAACGTCTCTCCCAAAATTGGATAACCAAAACTTAAAGGTTTTCCTCAGAATCCGACCCCTCCCATCCTCGCCTATTCAAGCACCGCGCGTGAGAACCAAAAGCGCGTGGCCTCAGAACCCAATCAAGAAGAACACAGCCGCAGGGACTAAAATTTCGAAGAAAAAGAGCTCCGGCACGTGCATATTGGTCAACGATTCACAGTCGGTGACATTATCAACCGCTTTGAGCTTGCAAGAGTCGAAGCGAATAAAATCAGAGACTTATGGAGGCTTCTCACACGTTTTTTCTTCCGATTCTTCCCAGGTAACGATAAATTGATAACGGTATTCTCTCGTTTCTTAGTTTCTCGTTGTTGGCGGTTTTCATTAGTTAACAATGATAATGTGATGTAAATTATAGTTTCAAGTGTATGAGAGAATGGTGAAACCTATGGTGGAGGAGTTTCTGAAGGGTAGGAGTGGAATGTTTGCTGCACTTGGGCCCAGTGGGTCAGGGAAGACTCATACAGTGTTTGGATGCGCAAGGGATCCTGGAATGGTACCTCTTATACTACGCCATATTTTCAAGGAGACTGAGCCAGATGCCAAACAAGAATCCAGGTATTCTTGTGCTTTAATTCCAAATAAATATATAAGCTGTAGGTTAAGCTGCACAAGGGTTCAGTCTTCGGTTAGTACTTAGTATGCGTTGTACTTGGTTATGTTTTGATGACCAAAAGTGACATTTTGAGTGTAAGAAATTTAAGCTTTATGTAGTTTGTATTGAAGAAAACTTAAGTGCAGTAAGCACTTTTGGCGTTGTTCTCTTATCAAATTCAAAGTTTTACTTTGTTAATCTGACATTTATTATGCAGGTTACTGAGCTAAAGCTATAATTGTACTTAGAAAACAATAGCAGAATTATCTGATATACTTTATCTTAGTTTTGGCTATTAGAAAATGCGACAACACAAACATGACAGCACAGCCACATCGACAAGTTTTGGATAATCATATGCAGCTATGCTTGAACTTTTTTTATGTTTAACTAAAATGCCAATTTTGTCCTGTGGTGCAAGTCGCAGGTCCTTTTACATGTCGATATTTGAGATTTATTCTGAACGGAGTAAAGCAGAGAAAGTGTTTGATTTATTACCGGATGGTGGTGAACTAAGCATGCAGCAATCAACTGTGAAAGGACTGAAAGAGGTTTGTAGTTACATTTGTTTATTTGCGCAGATGTGGATAATATGGTTAGTGATGTTTTCATAATTCTTGTATTTGTGTGAACAGGTTCTTATCTCTAATGTTGAGCAGACAGAATCCTTAATAGCACAGGCAGTGCTAAAGCGTGCGACTGCGATGACAAACACTAACAGTCAGTCCAGGTAGGATTAAGATGGGAATTTTATAAATGTTACATACTTCACTAAAAAACAAACGGCTTTGTTGTTTGCTAGGTGTTTTATTTTGTGTGGAATGCCAAATGTTTTGATAATAGGCAGAGGTTGTTTGTAATATTCAGTGGGTTTAGTGAGTAGAAGAAGGTCTAAATTTTCTGCCAAATTTTGACCGGTGCTGTTTTAGGATGTTATATTGTATTTGGTTTCATCAAAAACCAAAAGAAAAGAAAAATATTGACCATGAATAAATCTCAGGAAGTAATTGCCATTCCATTTAAGTTTTTGTTGGAAGGATCACAAGTTTATGATTATACAACTATTCATTATATGATTATATAGAACTTTTCAGCAGCTTTAAGTTTATACAACCAATCATTTTATGATTATTAACGTTTGAGTTGTTTATTTGGTACTTGCAGCCGATCGCAATGCATCATTAACATATGTGATGTTCCCCAAAAATGTAAAGGAGTGGTCAATCCTAAGTCAAATGGTGCTGTTTTGACTATCGTTGACTTTGCTGGAGCTGAAAGAGAAAAAAGAACAGGGAATCAGGTCCATTACATTTTTTTCATATGTTATGAGCATTTTATACATAGGTTTGATTTTAGCAGTGTGACGCTGAACTTTAGGATATGATCTAAATCTCATAAATGTCTTATCATTTACCCTCTTTGTTGTCTTTTATAGAAAAGATATATTCATCTTGTGTAGCTAAAAAGCTTGGACAAATATATGGACCTGCTTATAGTGTGAACATTGATTTTAGGCTTAAATCAGACATTATTCTTGATGTTTGTTGATTATGCTTCAAAGTCTTAAAAATATAACCCTTTACTAGTTATAGAGTAAAATTCTCTGGTGTCTGGATAAATATATAATAAAAAATGTAAACCTTCTTAATAATCTTAACTATAAGAGAATAATATACAAACTTCAGATAATTGGGGTGACATCATTTCTTTAACCTCATTTGCAAGTTTGGCTACAATTTCTATACTTAAGGTTGGTCGATTCATGCTGTAGACCAACCTAGAGGGATAATGTTTGGTTATTGAAAATGTTTTGCTTTTATCTTCATCTTAACTACTGGTTTTTCCCTTTTGTGATATTGTAGGGGACAAGATTGCTTGAAAGCAATTTTATCAACAACACCTTAATGGTGTTTGGCTTATGCTTAAGAGTATGTAGCCTACACTTCAAATTTTGAACCCAAATTATTGGACTTTTGGTAGCTAGAATTTTATTAATTTTTACCACTTCTACGGTTATTTGTGAACTTTTAATATATTTTTTTCTTCTGCAGTTCTGCCTTTCCTTTGCCTCATATTATGTATGAATTTGTTGATTTCAGTCATTATTGGAGCATCAAAAAAACCCCAAGAAGCCATTGCAGAAGCACTTCCAGAACTCAATGGTGATGTTTTTAATAATTCATTGTTTTATTGCATCTTGATGAGCTTTTGTAGTGATATTTGTTACTATCTCTTTCTTGATGACTAATGTATCAACAAACATAAGCTAAAAGCTTATTTGTTTTCTCTGCTTAGGAATATCTTATTGACAATGAAATGGGGAAGGGTTACAGCTTAACAGATTTGACTTTGTTGATCACTGCTGCAGTTAACCAGGTACCTGCGAGATTATCTGGAGGGCAAGAAGCGCATGACCTTGGTATGTAGATATTACTTTCAAACTTTGTTTTCTCCTTGCTGATCACAATTAAACTTAGCTATATGGTGGTTCTCTTTTAATGAGAATAATGCTTTTCTGATATAAATTTGGTTTTTTTTTTCATTTCATGCTCATCAATCTTATCCATTCCTATTATTAACTTTTATTTATTGTTGTGTTCATAGATTTTAACAGCAAAGTCAGGAGAGGAAGATTACCTTGATACTTCTTACTTATTGAGACAAGCTTCTCCTTACATGCAAATCAAGTGAATATTGTCATTTGTGTCGGATGATCTCACTTGACTTTTATATTTACCTCTGATTGGTTTCTAAGTATCTCTGTTCATTTTTGCTAGGTATAATGAAGTTGAAACATCAAACATGGTTCCCAGAAAAAGGCATTATCAAACTTTATCCATAATGGATAATGCAAAACTGTCACCTTTATCAGAACATTTAAAGAAAATGAGACTTGTTAGTGAACATACCGAGCAGGTTTTCTTCTACTTCCTTGCTTGCCTAAAATTGCATTTAAATATTTTGTACACATTTTCTATTGTGGATATGCTAAAGCATAAATAAAAGAAATGGTGCACAAATAGCACAAACGTTATGTTGTCATTGATCTTTCAAGATTACTTATTAATCCATTATATTTTCTTTGTTTGTCTTCAGAATGATGAAAAGAATGTTGAAGAAAGGAATTCTTTTAAGGAGGGTAAGAGGACATTTAAAAATTGTGTTAAATTTATCCCCCCAACCCAACCAACAACAGGATGGTACACAATAAGGGATAGCATATTCTCTTCCCATAGATCCCAATTGAACATTGGACCTTCATGAGGGAGTAACAAGTGTTCAACATTGTGTGTCCCATTGTGAATTTAATTTTTGTATTCTAATGCTAGGCAATTCTTGTATTATTCTTAAAGTTCAGTCCCTTGGACCTATAACTATCATCCTGACTTTGGTTTTGTACAGACGCTTCAACAATCTGCAAATTGGGTGCTAATAGTTCTGTCTCTTTCAAGTCAGAGTGTGATAGCCAGCTCCAGACTGAGAGAAGCCATATTATTATGCAGAATTTTGCTAAAGTTATATGGAATGTTTTGAAGCAATATAATTCCAAACTGAAGGTAATAAGAAAAGAAAAAGTTTGTCTGCTGAAATTATCAATCTCATGCATCTGGGTGCTCTAACAATGATGTGTGTAGATAATCCAATTATCTGTGCTTAATATTTTACTCTATTCATAATCAGGTTGCAGAAATGGAAATAGAAAGTCGCAAAGAAAGCATTGGATTTGAAAAGAAAAAATTCTTGGAGCTGGAAAGACAGTTCAATGAGTTTAAGGCCTGTTGTACTTGCTGCAAAGGAGGAAAAGTAAAAACAGAACCAGTATATTGTTCGTCAGTGGATGTTGATCAACCCAATAACTGGAAGCAAGAGGTTGAGTACTGTTTTACTAGATTCCTGCTTTCTTGTCTAATGATTATTTAAGTTTTCATGAAGAACTGACATTCCATGGGGAATTAATGGTCATTATATCAAATAATTAATTGGGCATTAGGAATATGAGGCTGTTGGCTCAAGCAATTAGTTGTTTTTTTGACTTTCCTACGACGATGAATCTCTGGTCTTAGGATTTGGTAACATTGGATAGGTTGGTGCATATGTCAATCTGCCCGAACTTGTTGGTTCATTCCAGGAGAGATCTAGCCCTAATTGAGTTCAGACCATGGCAGTTGAATAATAAATTAAGCTTGAGAATGACTGTTTATGTTGAGTAAATCATGTTGACATGAAATAATATCAACAAGTGGCCAACTAAGTAAGCTTGAACCTGTTAATTGGCCAACCTGTTTTGCTAACTTCCACTTTCCTCTGACAGGTAGTTATTGCTGGTTTTAGGTTTATGTCTTCCTAGTAGGTAAAATTAGGCTTTAATAGATTAAAATAAAACAGTGATACTCCCAAAACCACCCTGTCTAAAGTATGAACTGACAAAACTGTGCTTTCTGGCATGTTTCATAAGAAATTATTCAAGCACCAGTACTCTTTCTTTCCCCATATATGTGAGCATCAGATTGCATTGTTATATGTATGTTACTTGGTTATCTGTTCTTTCCAGGAAAAATTTCATGCACATTCATCATCTGAGCTTAGAGTTAACCAGTCGGATGAAGAGGAACCCATGCTTGCTACTAAGTTAGATTCTGAAAACTTAGACAGGTTAGTCTTATGACTAATGATCTTCACATGTGGTTCCTGCTTGTCTTTATTGAATTTGAACTAATGTGCTTGTTGTAAATTCCTGCTTGGTGCAACAATATAGGGAAGTTTTGGCTTCATCAAAACCTGAACATCATAATGATTTGGAGGTTGATGCTGGGAGCAAGATACCAAGTGTGAGTTGACCTTTTAATTTGTTTAATGTGCACGAGTCAGTTTGCTTGATTTAATTCATTGAAGGAGAAAGATGTCTCCATTGAGTTTGGATCTTGCTTGTTCAATAATTAACCACCTTTGAGATTGTGAGTGTTCAAGTAGTGGTTAGCCAAATTAGCTTGAGCGTATTAATTGGCTAATCAACCTGTTCCCCCAACTACCACTTTCCTCTAACATATAGTTATTGATGGGTTTTGGATTTAATGTCATATTAGTGGGTAAGTTAGGCATCAGCAGATCAAAATAAGAGTTATACCACTAGAGGCTTCCCATCTAATGTGTAAATTAACTTAACTATGCTTTGTGTGTGTATGTCATGGGAAAGTTCACTCCAATTCTGTCCTGAAAATATATGAGCTTCAGCTTTCAATATTATTAAATGTTATTTGGTGATCCATTTCCATTCTATCTAGGAATCATTTCATACACAGAAATTGCTTGAGCCTAGACCTGACCAGTCAGATGAACAGCCTACACTTGGTACTTCCTCTACACAGTTAGATTCTGAAAAATCAGATAGGTTAGTATTATGAAGAATGATCTTTTGCATGTGCTCATGCTTGTTTTTCTTGGATTTGAACTAATATACCTGCTCCTAACTCTTCCTTGTAACAATAATATAGCGAAGTTTCAACCTCCTTGTCAAAACACGAGGATCACAATACTTTGGAGGTTGGGAGTGTGAGCATGATACCAAGTGTAAGTTGAATTTCCGTATGTTAATGTCTATACAAGTCAATTTGCTTGTACTTGTTTCATTGAAGGATAAATTGTACCTTAATTGAGTTCAGATCTTGCCAGTTAAAGAAAAATTAAGCTTCAAAATGAGTGTGTATGTAGTTCTGGGAATCCAGACAACATGAAATAAACTCAGCAACTGGCAAGCTAAGTTAACTTGATCCTGTGTTGGCTTACCTGTTTCCTTAACAACTTCTTGGGCATAGTTATTACTTGGTTTTGAGTTTATTGTCTTGTTTCGTTAGAAGTGGTTCTCCTAGTTTTTTTCTTCAAAATATTTGCTATTTTACTATGTTAGATATTTGGTCGTCCATTCTTTGCAGGGAACATTTCAGTCATCATCTGAGCCTAGACTTGACCAGTCAGACGAAGAGCCTATGCTCAGTCCTTCCTGTACAGAGTTGGATTCTGAGAAGCCTGAGAGGTTAGTTTTGTACTGATAATCTTTCATGTGCGATTTTTGCTTGTTTTTCTTGGCCTTGAACAAATATGCTTATTCCTTAATTCCTGCTCGGTGTAATGTAGGAAAATTTTGGCATCCTCGTCAAAACAAACACATCATAATCCTTTGGAGGTTGAGGCTGAGAGCGAGATGCCAATTGTGAGTTGAATTTCCATTTGTTAGTTTACACATGCTGTTTGTTGTATTTCTTTAATTGATACATAGAAGGTGATTTAAGATAATTTAGGATTAAAAGATATAAAGCATTATGTTAACCAACTGTTCAGAAATCTGAAGGATCGGAATTTGACGATCTTTTCTTAATAAATCTTAAACCTTATGCTCGAATTCGACAAGGTTAAAACACCTAATCAGTGGGTCACAGGTTTGGTTTCCATGTTTATAACTACCGATTCTAAAAGCTTAAATTATTAATTACAGCTTCATAAATGATTTTATATATTTATCTCTAGCAAAGAGAGAAAATAAATATTGATGTTGCAATTGTTCAACTTGTCATTTTACTTGATAATACCAAATGATAGTCATTTTAGTCCTTGAAATTACTAAGATATAGACTAAAATGATCCCCCTTTGGTAGTTTTAGAGATGAAATTGAGCAATTGTTTATAACCGTAGATCCAGTAAGAGATTTCTACCATATAATTATAAAAGTAAGTCAAATAGTCATTGAAGATATGGACAAATGCTGCATAAAATAACTGCTGTCATATTGACTTACTAAGCTAAGGTTACAAGAAATTTATTACATCTCTCCTATTGTTTGGTTTACCTTTCAGAACTCGTTCGTCTCTTCGTCATTGACAAAAGATGACATTTTGCATCCTTTGTCGCTCAAAGATGTTTTATCTACTGAAACCCATAACCTTGTGAGTGATTCACGTGACGAGATAGGTATCAATGACTCTCGCAAACCTGCTAAGCCAAAAAGGTTCGTGGTTTACGTATAGTAGAAAAGTATTGAAGCGGTGTCTAACCTAGTCCCCGTACAGTTTTTCCTTTAAATTTACTGATAGCAATTTTTATGTTTGTGGTTGTTGAAATCAGGACACTTATGCCTTCCTCATCCATGTTATCAAGGGACTTGAGTGCCTTTGATCTTTGCAACGAATCCGAGAAAATAAAGGTAGTGTATCAAATTTAATGTTTAAATTTTGATTGGTGCAGTTCAAATGGAGCTCACCTGCACGAAATCACACGTCTTCCTACGCTTCAATAGCTAAATATATTTCTTGTTTTTTATGTTTAATGCTGTACTATTATGTTAAATTTGACAAAGGATAGTGAATTAGTAGTGAACACAAGTGTCTGGTTTGCAGGGAAATAGGAGCACAAGGAAGTTAGCCGCACATGATCCTATAAGATCGAAGGGAAGGATCTCTTTGCTCCACATGTTGCAAGGGAGAAAAAGCAATCTTCATCTATAGCTTAGCCGTTGAATCTTCGGAAGGGATAGCCACTGAACTTTTTTTTGTGCAGTGTGTTGATTTGCCATTTTGGAACGTACCTTCTGCCTTGTAGTTGGTTAATTTGAGTTCGCTGGTTACCGTTCTCAAGTTTTTTTGTGAAAGTTAACAACATAGTTGTTTGCTGGTAAATAGTTATTTTTCAGTTGCACTCCACAGGAAAAATGTACAAATTGTGTATGAATATATACGTCCTAAATAAATGAGTATCATTGTTTTGCCATATATTTCATTTCTCCCTTTCAACATGGAATCATAATTACTCATGCATCCGCGTTCACTTTCGTTCTCTTATGCGTTCACGGGCTTCTTTTTTTTTATCTAAATATTATTTTTTTTCAAATAAATTATGAAAATATAACTTTTTTAAAACTATTTTTCTGTTTAATTAGCAAAAATTTTATTTATTTAGCAAAAATTTAACTTTTTTTTTATCTAAATTTCTGTTTTTTAAAACTAACTTTTTGTCATTATAATTAGCAAAAACTTTATTTATTTATTTTTAAAAATAAATTTTGCTAAAAAAAATACAAAACTTATAAAATTTTAATAACCCTCAAATCATTTTAAGTTTCATAGTTGTGATGTGAAACTTAATATTTAAAAAAGTTAAATTTTGCCGCCGGGAAGATTGCGAAATTTGCTGGGTAGACGTATGGATTTTGTTGCAATTCTCCAGACATTTTTTTCAGAAAATTGAGAAAAGTTATTATTTCTTGTCTTGTCATTTAACACTTGGCATGTGAGTAAGAAAAACACTTTTTTATTTAACAAACATGTTAAAATTTTATAAGTTTCACAATTTTTGTAATAAAATTTATTTTTAAAATTAAAAATATAAAAATTTCACTAATTATGATGAAAAAATTTATGATACGTGGCAAAAAACAGTAAGAGAATTAGTTTTAAAAAAATTATATTTTGATCATTTGTTTTCTAAAAAATATTTACATGAAAAAGCCTGATTCACATTATTTATTATCTATATTTTTTGCGAACAAATAGCTTATTTATGAAAACTTATGTTTGTGGGATTTGAAACTATATTTAAAAAACAATTTTTTATACTTTTTTTTGGGTACAGTTACCAGAAAATTCTTATAGAAGATTTTTTTTTTTTTTTTTTTCTATTTGCGGTGGGATCAATTGGTATACAAGAACTTTTGTTTTGGTCGATCTTATACAAGTTTTTATTTTTTATTTTTAGCCAGAAGCTTATACAAGCACTTGAATCATTTTCTTTTGGATCGAGTACTATATATATATATACACGGTCAACGAGTACTTGAATGATTTGTTCATCCACTGTAAAACATTATTTTTGTCAAATAAGCCAATAGTTTTTGTAAGCAATTTTTGGGTCTGCTTGTAAGCCTGACGTAGGCCGATAACAAAATCACCTATTAAACCAAAAGCTGGCGCCGACCTTAGATCGTAAATGTTCTTTTTTATTTGGGCTAGAGGAAACTAAGAAAAAGGCCCAGACCCAATGAAAACCCAAACTAGCGCAACTAGTCTAATCCTGTAAATGTATGGCCGAGATGATATTTAAATCCAATACTTTTCATTAATATTTAATTATTTGTAATTGTGCGTTTTGACTTGCAAGCTAAATTTTGTAGTCTGTATCTTTTCTTTGTGTTGAGAGTTTTTACATCATGATCGAACTACTTCTTTCAATAAATATTCTTTTTATTATACACACGATTTGAATTCGAGTCTTTACTTAAGAAAATTTGAAGATATATATCAATTGAACAACTTCAGCTGTTTTAAAAATGAAAAATGAGGTGTAACAATACTGTTCTGGAAGTATGTTGCAAAATTCATTGTATAATCCACTGGAACTTGCGAGTTGCGAGCGAAACACAAGGAGACAAAGCAATAGTTGTGTAATTACTGAAAGAGACATTAGAAAAGGCACAAATTGTCTCATCAAAGCTTTATTTGCAGTGGTTCATGCTGAACACGTTTCCTTCAGCTGTCAATGTTAGGGACTCAAAATAATTGATTCAGAATCTGGATTATTATACTAAATAAATTCCATTAGAATCCAAGTTAATATTTTAACCTTCTAGACAATAACTAAGTAGCATGCCCTTTTATTAAAAACTGAGCAAATTTCTCAAGAGATAAAGTTAGAGAGATTGAACCTGGTAGACAATAACATGTACATTTATTTATGGATAAAAATAAATTATACTCGTCCTAAAGCATTCTTCACATAATTACTTTTCCTTCTTAAACTTGTGGTGTGAATTGGCACCAGAAGCATGATGTGATGCATAGAATCCATGACAAAGACATCAAGGGGACGTTTCCTTTTCAGCTTAGACAACGTCTATATATCCTTTGTTTTCTGCTTCTTTTCGAAAACTTGTTCATATGAACATAATCCTTGAGATAAAAGCCGCACAAGAGACAAATGAACCAAGACATCCTCAAACTCCTAGTTGTTGGAGATATTTCAGCAATGCGTCCTTCTATGGCCTTTCTTTACCCTCGCAATTAATTAATAAATGGCTAATCACGAGACATATAGTCCCTCTTTGTCTAACTTCAATAAGATAAATTTTGTTTTTTATGTTATGTTTTACGTTTATTGATATAACTTTCGCATGATATCTTGTCTTGCAAATTCCCTTGGACGGAAGAAGCACGTAAAAGTGTTTTTTGTGATTAGTTAAATTTATTCAAAAGCATTCTATTATTATATTTATTAAATAGAGAATAAAACTCACAACAAGTTGTTTTAAGGCTTTATTTTAGAAAATTTTGCTTCCATGCAAAATTCAGGTGTTGAAAAAAAAATAAAAAACTTCTTTTGCACATCTATACTCTTCTATCTTCAATTTTATTTGCTAAATATGACCTTACAACAAGTAATTTTTCTATTTTCTAAATTAATAATTCATATTAATCCATATTTTTAAAGCCCGTTTGATAGCATTCATAAAAAAATTGTAAAAATTTATTATTTTATTTCATGTTTATACTAGAATAACAAATTATGTGTATTTATTATTTTATTTTTAACCAAAATTTTATTAATTAAGTAAATATTAAAAATACATTTTTTTTTATCGATTCCACAAACAAAATTTTTACCTGGAGATTACCGAGTCATTGATTAAGTATCTTAAAATTTGAGAAAAAGACAATAAAAGAGAAAGAGAATATTTGAATTCAAATATCACAGTCAATGTCTCATTAATTTTAATTTGAACATAGATTAAATATGGATTCGGGGAGAGTAAATTTACTTAATTTATTTTGACCGAATATTTAAGAGGGGAATGAATATAGTTTCATTATGCATGAACAGGAAACATTCAAAGATAAATATTTATGGGAAATCAATATATAATGAAATAAATAAATCATATTATAATAATTCAATTGTCGTAATTTAATTAATACTACACTAATAAATATCAATGAAAATCTTACGATTTAAGATTTGGTGAGATGTAAATATTCATCCTCCATAAGAATAGAAAACAAATAAAGGAGAGACAGACATTGGAGTAGCTAGGATTATAAATTGTCGGGGTAAAAATGAGAAAGGGCAGGGTAATACCAACAAAAAGAAATGCATTCAGCTGTTTCATGAACTATTGGAGATTGAGGACTTAACTTAGCATTTCAGCTTTTTTTTCTTTCACTGTGTTCATCTTTAGAACATTTTAATAATTCATGTGATTAATCGTTGATTAACTAATTTACACCGTGTGATTCGTTGTTGAGTTTATTTTTTTTCATAAAATTAAAACGCAAAGGGATATATATTTAGTAATAGACGAGTTTCAATCCAACTTTAAAGCTTGAATTATTTAGTGAAAACAAAGTTGCACGGTACAACAAATTTCTAGCAAACTCGTTATTTTTTTAGTTTTTAGTTTAACTTTTATACAATTGAATACCGACATGTAATTTCATGATAACTTAGTGCAATTTATATATATTTTTTTTTGCTAAACGTATATTCTTTATATACACATGTTTATATAATTATAAAAACATGATGCTTTTCTAGTAATAAGATATTTTATAATATTATCATGTATTCTTTTTTCATAAATAAATTATTTATTTGTTACTAAAATTTTAAAGTATATTTCTTTTTCTAAATTTAGAAGAAAAATTTTCTACCGCGTTAAGAATACAATATTTTGTTAAAGTCATTAATGATGAATTTAACACCTTATCTTGTTACCTCATAGAAATTCTATATTACAGTTTATTTTTATATGTCTTAAATGAATAAAATAAAATAATAAAAAAACAAATGAATAATCATTATATGTAATAAATTGGATAAGAAATGCATTTGATTTACATTCCTTACTTAAGAGAGAAAGTAAATCGGGTCGGGTTAGGGAGGAGGAGCGGATATGGATATGGATATGGATATGGATATGGGAGTGGAACCCAGAAGAAGGGATTGAAATTGAAGAGTATGAATGTTGGGGTGTGGTGGGGGGTGGCCCCATTAACTCGGAACAGCGTCTTGCGTCGCACGTGTTGATGCCCAACCTACGAACTAAAGTCGACCAGAAAATTCAGAAATCTGCAAAACAAAAACCAAATAAAAATCCCAACGTTGTTGCTCTCTTCCCTTCAACTGTGCTTTCAACTACTATACAAAGAAACATACCCACAACGCACCACAAACGCAAGCACAAGAAGAACTTACTAAGACTATACCCACAACAACTCTAACCCTTCTCTCTCTCTCTCACACACACACATAACCTCACACCATTCTACAATTCACCAAAGCTTCTGAAGCTTAGCCTCAGTTAGGGTTTTCGTTTCACTCAACCAGGTTAACTCTTCTCTTCCCATTCTATACTTTCACTTCCCTTCCATCTCTGGCTTTCAATTTTTTCTTTCTTTTCTCTTAATTCATTATCCTTTGTTAGAATGTGTCCGAGTTTTAATTGTGATTAACTGTGTTTTAAGTTTTGATTCCTCTTTTTTGTTTCTCATTTTGATACATCTCTGTTCTGGCTAAGGAGCTCTGTTATTTTTTTAATAGTTTTTTAGGGTTTTTCTATTTCTTATATCAACCTTCCAGTTTTAGGGTTTTGGTTATTTGTAGTAGTTGCGTTTGTGACTCTTTTTTTTAATTAAAAAAATTAGCTACTGTTGTTAAGAATTAAGGATTCATGTTCAGTTATGTGCTTGCTCTGGGTTTTTCTTTAATCATTAATTTCCGTGTTGTTTATTTAATTTACTTGCATTTTGTGTGTGGGATTCTGATTTTATTTCTGAATTGGTCGTTTCAGGGATGGAGTAGTATCTGCTCGGTGATCGAAATTGGAGAGTTACAATTTGGTTTTACTGATACTGTAACTTCGAACCAGCCGGCTAATTGACTGGTAACCTTATTAGAGTTTGGTATTATTTATTTATTTTATTTTTTTTGTCAATGATCAGCATAGGACTTAAATCTAACCGCAGCATGTAAGTAATAACTGACAGACTTGCTTGATCGTTTTAAAATGCTTCTCAGAATTTCTACCCGGCCCAACATTTTCTAAAACTGTTCCTAAAAGGAAGGGGCTGAGTTAGGGGCTGATGCGGGAGGAGAAGGAAAAAGGGAGAAAGAAAAGTTTGAAAACATGAATTGAAGTTTTATATTGTAAAATATTGAATACAGTGCACTTCCTGTTATGATTTACCATAATAATAAATTGTGAAGTTGATCTAATGCATTAATTTGGGAAGCGATACGCAGCTGTGAATTATCATTTTGTATTAATTTAGAAAGCGACAAGCGTGGCAGCGAATCATCATTTGTTTTAAAAGCATTATTTGTTTGTGAAGGTAGTACTGGGCATAGTAGAGTTGTAAATCGTGGACGTTACATTTAATTTCCTCTGGCTTGTATTCCTGCATGTCACGGATGGCAGTTTATTCTGGCTTAAGTTAGTTCCTTTCAAGTTGGCCCTTAAATTGATAAATCCTACCTGCTGTTTTTTCTTGAAGAAATAAAAAAATTATAATGATTGTGGTAATCCTGTATTGAGTGAGTCAGTGACATGGAATCATTAAGAAGTTGTTTACTAGAGTGGTTTTGGGCTAAGCTAGAACCAAGTTTTTTGATTTTGTCTTAATAGATATGCAAATGCATTATTTCCTATATTTTAACTGATGGCCATATGAGAATTTTCTATTAGTAATATATTATTTGAATTAGAAGTTGCTGCATTCTTACATTTTCTTGTCTAAACTGCTAAATTTCATATATCATTATAAATTAGTAATAAAAGTTACTCTACTCTGTTGATTATTTATGTTTTAGATAGTGATATCTTCATTGATCTTAATTTTCTCTTTAATTAATTACTATATTCCACATGGTAGCCAATCACTTGACTGTGGTTGTTGTATGGCAAATTTGCGAGCTTGTGTAAATCTTAATTAATTAATAAAAGCTAAGTTGATATCTCTTTATTTGGGATAAAGAAAGGCATTAATGCCGGTGTAGGTATATGATGGTTCAAAATGCTTGAATTTGTGCGGTGTTTTGTGCATGATAGAGCTGTCTTAATTTTTTGGCTCGGAAACTCAATACCTCTAAAGATAGCTCTTATTCTGTACAGTCTTCTTTTATTCCGAATGAATTGTCAAAACAGTCTGGTTTGTTGGTCTAGATTGATAACTTTGTTCATTTTCTTAATCCAGATCAATCCTTAGAGTATAGCAGAGTGGTCATTATTCTCCGATCTTTCTTTTAGGGTAGAAGAAAATTTAGGTTCAGTGGTGACTGCACCATCATAGGGTCAGGAATGGGCAGGCCTCTAAGCATAATAAGTGCTTACAGAGGTCCTTAAAATAACCTTATCACAATTCCAACCCTTGACAACTAAGTCGACACGGTCTCCTCTACCAAAATGTTCATGTTATATTGATTTTCTGTAACTTTTTCTAATGATATTCTGTTGAAGACTTTAATTAAGGGTATTTTATAAGTGCATCAGTTATGATATATCCTACATTCTGCAAAAATGTTTTTTCATTTATTTATGGTAACAGTGGTCTAAAATCTGTCAAATGATTTGGTCAGTTGAGAATTTAGTCTTTAAGACTGAAAAGGTCAGGTGCATTTCTTATTTTTAATGATGTTATACCTGATTGCTGCTGTAAGCTTGGGGCTTGATTTGTGTGTGATCTGTTTCTTGGTAGGAATCTATTTGCCTCTAATGACCTTGTGTGTGGAAGTGGAAATATCTGAATACTGTCCCCTAAAATGAATATTTTCTTTGTCATTGTTTTTGCAGTGCATGTTTGTGAACTTTTTCCCAGAAATTTTATTGAGATTCTTAATGGGAGAGAAAGTTCTTGCATGCCAAAAGGATGGCCTCAATGCTCTGAGAAAGATTATGTGAAGCAGTATGACTCTGGAAGATTTCTTTACCTTGACCGAGATGAAAGATGGGCTCATCGCACCTTCTCGGGTGCAGGAGCTGGTCTCTGTAATGCAGAACGAGAAAGATTGTGAGGTTAAAAATGCTGGTGATGCAACAAGGCAGTGGGCTGCTGTTGCAAGCACTATTGCTGCTACAGAGAATAAAGATTGTCTTGATCTTTTTATTCAGTTAGATGGACTTTGCTTCATTAATATGTGGTTAAAGGATGCTCAAAATTTGGGGGTTGATTCAAATGACAGTTTTATTGAAGAATCGATCACTGCAATGCTACGAGCAGTTGAAAAGCTGCATCTAGACAGTGAGAAGTCGATTTCATCTGGAATTCGCATCACTGTCAGCAATCTTCTTGACCATCATAGTGCTAGGGTTCAGGATAGAGCCAGAGTGTTATTTGACAGCTGGAAGGGAGGTGGAAATGGTGATACTGATTCTCATGATGTGGAGCTTGCTAAAGTCGACAATGCAAGTGGCAAAATTGGCAGGGAGGAAGGCCATCCATCTGCTGTGAATGAAGCTGGCAATGATAATGGTCATTTATCAGGACTAATTGGAAACGATAAATCACTATTGAGAAGCTCAGATAATTTCCCGATACAGAGTTCTGATAATGTGCTCCAGTCATCTGCCTGTGTGGAGTCTGAAGACATCAAAGAGGGATCCACAAACCATGTTCTTTCCTCTGCTCAAGTTGTTGCTCCCATACACGAAGGATTTCCTTTATGCAGTGCAGGTGAGACCACTTCAGTACGAACCTGTAACTTTCCTATTCCAAATGATGGACAGCCGGATGCAGTACAGTTAAGTGACATGGACAAAAAGGAGAAGCAGGAGTTAAATGATAATGGCGCTCCAGAAAATTCAGGAGCACCATCTGTGTCATCTATGCTAGAGCCTGAGCCTGCTTCCATCGGTGCTAGCGTAATAAAGGCACCAGAATATGTGAAACAACAAGCTTTAGAGCAAAATGTTGGAAACAATGAGGATGATGTTTGTCATAAAATAACTACTACTTGTAGTTTGAGGACACCTGCATCTGATGGGATTGGGGCTGCTGATGATATCAGAGCTGTAACTAGCATTACACAACTTTGCAAAGCTGCAGAAAATGATGACAACTGTTGTCCTAATGCTTTGCAGATCACAGCAGTCAGTGACAGTAACTTGGAAAAGAGTGAGGTGTTAGCCATGTCTGTATCTGAAACAGAATATGTCAGAGCATCAAAGGAAGGCAAGGAGTGGGTTTATAATGATGGTGAGGATACATCAAAAGGTTCTGATTCTAGTAAACCTGTAAAAGAAGATTTTAGAGGCCCTAACATAATTGACAAGAGAGTTTCTGATAATGAACTTGACTGTGGCATTGTGGATGCTTTAGAAGTTGCTCACAAAGTTAGGAGAGAAGTCTGCAGCTCCTCAGAAAAAATCTCCGAAGGTGGAATCAGGCAACCAGGCAGCCCAGATTCTGTAAGAAAAGAGGAAGAGCTCACTCCTGTTCCACCCAAGGAGGTTTCCTCCAGACAAAGCAACTCTACTGGAGCATGTTTTGAGGACGGGCATGAGAGTATGTCAGACAATACCAAGGCTGAGCCTGAATGCAGGCCTGATGTGAAGTCCATGCAGGTGACTGAAGCAGCTCAAGATTCAGGAGATAACTCAGAGAAACGTCTCTGCGCCTTTGATCTCAATGAAATTGGTTCTGATGATGATATGGATGCTTCTGTAAATACTACATCTACTCCAATACCTGTTGTCTCTGCTTCAATGCCTACACCAACTCTAGGGTTGCTTGGGGTCCCTGTGCAGTTCGAGGGGACGCTTGGATGGAAAGGATCAGCTGCCACCAGTGCCTTTCGACCTGCATCACCTCGTAAAAATTGGGACAATGAGAGAAATCTCCCTGTTGATCAGAACTCTGACACTTCCAAGCAGAGGCAGGATTGGCTTGATATTGATCTAAATGTGGCTGAGGATGAAGAGGATACAATAAAACCTATTGCTGAATCTTCAGGCCTTCCTTCTGGGCAATCATCAGTTGAACTTAGTCCTAAAAGATCAAGCAGGATTGAATTGGATTTGAACAGTATTGGTGATGATGGTGACGCCCAACCTTCAGGTCACAGGATGGAGGGACAACTCTTTCTTGGAAGAAATGGCTATTGGAGCCCCTCTCCAGCATCATCGTCATCGTCAATGCAACCATCAGTCAGAAACATTGATTTGAATGACAGGCCATGCCTTCAAACTGATTTGGTGTACCAGGGGCCTGGTAAGTCTTCTCATATTATTGATGCACATGGGCATTCTAAATCATCCGATGCCCCTGTTATCTCTATTTTGGGGGCCAAGGTAGAAGTTGGTAAAAAAGAATGTGTTCCTCAAACTGTGTCTTTGCCGAATGGCAAGGCTATTAAAGCTGCAATAGATCTCGCAAATTCTAGACCAGGTGGAGTTATAGGGATAACCCCGGCAGTATCCTTCAATTCATCTGCTTTGGGGTATAATGGAGTTGCATCAGCACCTGCATTGTCTTTTTCGTCAGCCATATACGGGTCAGGTGGCACAATTCCATACACAGTGGACTCAAGAGGAGCTCCAGTTGTTCCTCAAGTTGGCGGATCTTCATCAACTGTCCTTTCATCTTACTCTCAGCCACCAATCATAATGAATGTGACTGGTACACAACTTGGTTTGAATGGATTTGGACCTTCACGTCCTAACTTTGACCTGAACTCTGGCTTCATGATTGAAGGTGGGAATAGAGATGCATTGGCAGCAAGGCAATTTTTCTTTCCTGGGGGAAGGACTGGGGAGGAGCATGTAAGAACCATGACGCAACCCTCAAGTTCTGGGGTTGGTGGGAAAAGAAAGGAACCAGACAGTGGTTGGGAATCCTACCCATTTAGCTACAAACATCCGCAACCTCCATGGAAGTAGCTTCCAGTTTATGATTTTACCTCTCTTCTGAAATGTTCATAACCACACCTTTCCAATTGATGCTTTATTACCCGAAAAGATCTTTAAGATTAGGTCAGTGCACTGGCATCCTTTAGTAACAGAAGTTCTAGAACTCAATAAATGCCAGGGGAAGATGGATGTAATATGATTCAAATGATTGATTGTTAACGGGGGGAAATTGGGTTTTCTTATTCTTCTTTTTTCTTTTCTCTTCTTTCGTTGTTTTTCCTTTCCCGTAGCTTCATAGAAAGGCAGTACAAGCACAGAAAGTCTTGTGTGCGTCTAGCTGTAATTTCTCTTTCATATGTCAAAGAAATTTATAGGCATAGTATGATGTTTCTCGCTGTCACAGTGGCACTAGTACGTTGCCACTGTTTAGTTAGTTTTCATTGTTGAAGTTAATAACCTGTAAAAAGAGAAAGAAATATGTGACCGACTAAGAAAGGTTCTTGTTCCAAATTTTTCTGCTCACACTTCCTTCCTAATTCTATAGAAGCTTTTTATTTTTTATTCTCCGCATTTATGGTGCAAGTCTCCTTATGCTACCGGTCATCGCAGCCTTATTTTAATCATGCTTTTATTTTATTATGCCTTTTGTTTTCTTTCTCCAATGACTTTTGCCAGCGTAGGCTTTGTCATGTTACCCTTAAAATTTAAATTTTCATTTATGCACCCAATTTAAATAAACTAAAACAAATTAGTGTTAGTTAATGTTTTTCTTGTCATAAAAAATCGTCCGATGCTGCTGTCCAAATATTCGAAATTTACATTGAGTTTTTCGCATCAGTTGGGTGTCCTTTTCAAATGGCTAACTGATGATCAGTGACATTTACACTTTCATTATATTCATAATATAAATTTCTCTCTCTCATTTCCCATCGATTCATTGTAGCATAGAGCGCGACCTTTCTTGATGTTGCTGCATATAAAGGGGATAAGCAATTTCAATTCAATTCATGTATTTGTTGCACCATAGCTTTTAGGAGAAGCTTATCATTCGTATCGATTTACATCCATGCCTACTAGTGAATTTTATACCAATTTAATACAAGACTTATTTATTGTTGTATGAAAGAACCCAAGCAATGGGGCAGCTTACCGGGACAATAAAGGGACCGAGTGAGTTATTCTGCCCTGCCAGCTTACATAGTGGACTTTGTAGTCAATCTATTTAATACTATTAACGAACAAAATTGAAATGATTCGAAAACGCTATAAGGATGCATGGTCCTCCACTCCTCCCAGCCACGGACCAATTCAATACCTAACAATGCACAAATTACATGTCAACTCTCTCTCTCTCTCTCTCTCTCTATATATATATATATATATATATATATATATATCCATTGCGTGCAAATGGTTGCAATGCAGTGTCAACCGCTAGCGAGTCAATTGTAAGTTTTGGGTCAATCTTTCATCATTAATTTTTAAAACATCTCATTTATTAAGATAAAACATTGAAATAATACGTCTTTCCGCAAAGGGCATATACCTTAATCAACCCCTACCCTTAGTCCTCCTCGTTTTGTCATTACATTTTCTGCGTGTAAGCGAAGCCAAAAGCCTAGAATTTCAAAGATCATACAGAAACCAAAGTACACTTTTTTCTATCAAACAAAAGTACCCATTTTGTTATTTATTCACATAATGTTCCCATATCCATTTAACATATTATATTACAAGGAATACGCATAAGCATATATTTATATATACAAATACCACTCTCAATCAGACCCAAGACACACAGACAACCCAAGAGAAGAATTTTGTATAACTTACAAATGGGGAAAATAAGAATAAGAAAAAAGAAAGAAAAATAAAATAATTAAACCGTCCTTTTCATTTCTCTTTTTTTTTCTCTCTCTCTCTATTTTTACCAATTAATTTATTACAAAGGCGCTAAGGGAAGCTGGCGAGGAAGCCTAAAACGGACCTGAGAAGCAGGGGATCGCGGCGCAACGCCGTGCCAACAGATTCCTCCCTTACACACCTCTTGGTTATCATCGTGGTCGCTGGTGAAAGCACACGTGGCTTTACGTGAGACGTCCCACGTCAGGGTCGCCACCAGGATGAGAACCACCACGGTGGCAGACACAATCACAACGTAGCCGCTGCTAAACCTTCGACCAGAGACAAGACCATAGCCCTGAAGACACGCCATAAGCGCCACGTAGATTGTGGTCAGGTTCCTCGCCACCACATCAGATATCGCCATAGAGTGAGAGAGTGTAGTGTTGTGGATCTGAACGCTATTGCAAATTCCCTTTATTGCAATGCTTCGTCGTGCGAATGTTCACCTACGTGTCCTTCACCTCGCACATTTCTTCAAAACCAATCACTTTGCTCCACGTGTCTTCCTATACCACTTTTTACTACGTGGCTCCTCCTCAATAGCCTTGTCTTGCTCTTCCTCTTCACTGTCCCGTGACCTTTTTAAAACCCTTTTCTTTGTCGTCTATTTATCTTGTCAATACCATGATTTAAAAAAAAAAAGGTTAATAAAGAAACTCAAAATTTTAAAATAACATAAAATAAAATAAAAATGACGGTAGGCCATGCTAGAATTTAAGTTTTTCACCTTTAGTCATGGGCATGCTTGTTGGCAAGCTCATAAGTGACGTTTCACTTCTTCAATGTTTGACTATAACCAAAACCAAAATATCTTTGTGTGTGTGATTCTGCGTTAAATTTATTTAAATATAAAATTAGTTTAATGTTATAAGTTATAATTTTCTCATTAAAATGTTATTCACTATGTTGAGGGTGGTTTAATTGATCATTTTTATTAAAACTTAGGCGAAAGATATGGTCACGTGTCCAATGTTTCCAAATATTCGTTTGTAGAATCTAGAAGCATAATGTGGATTGATGAAGAATCATTTGGCGCACTATCTTTCCTTTGCACACAAATTGGTAGCATCATTAGGTGAATATTAATTGGGTGGTTGGGGCCATGTTATACAAAGTTTATTAGAAACTTTAGATTAGGATGCCCTACCTTGTTTTTTTTGTTCATGAAAGTAATAGATACGTATAATAAGGAGGAATTGGAGGGTGTTTCGTTGTCGCTTCTCTTTTTAACATTTCTCCTGGGTTTGGTTTCCACTTCCCAATCTGGGGGCGTGCATCTGTAACGTTTTGAGAAGCCATGGAAAAGTTTTTGACACTTTCTTAGACTTTTTTAAAAGAGGATTCACAATTCACAATTCAGGGCATTGTTACCAGGTTAAAGGTTTTTTTACTGAGGCTGTTAAAGTGCACGCACCTGCATCTGTCCACGAATCTGACCCACGACGCGTGAAACCTACTGTTACTAAGGCATCACTTCTACAACGACAAAGATATAAATAATAATAACCTTTAAACTTTTTTTTTACTACGGGAAAATATCAGAATTGAATTTGATTTTTCAAAATTTATCGAGTTAAGCTAATTTTCTCAGAGAAACCTGTATATAGTTGATCTGCCAGATTCATTGAACTTGCATGAAAACTACATAAAATTAGAAGATATTTGAAAAAAAATATGAAACGTTAATCAACTGTTGTGAGTTTTTTTAAAATTATAATATCTTTGATATCTTTAAAAGATATTATATTTAAAATTTTTTACTTTTTTATTTTACTCGTATCTTTACGCTAAATTGAGGAGTTGAACCCCTTCTAAAATATAATAATACATAAAAGAACAAACGTCTCGTAATGGTACTTTTGTTGGTCCACAGTAGCTTAGTGTTTAATAGAAAAAATAAATTGAAAATACTTGGGCTCAAGGGTGATTCAAGAGCAATGTTATCTGTATGTGTGTGTAGTGTCAAACATTTTCATGTCTTGATAAGAACTAATGGATCTAATTCAATTATGAGATTTTGGGCTTAGGTTGGAAGCCCGAAACCGAGGAAGCCCAAAAAGAGAGAAATGGAACAACGCAAACAGTTTTTGGTAAAAAAATCGTAATCCTTTACTCTTCTCGTTTTGTTTTTGGTCCAATCCTCTACTCTTCTTTAAATCAAACATTGACCACTTGACAAAAAAAAGCAATCATATTTCTTTTGGCAAAGAAATTCATAACATTTGATATTCATGATTATTTTATATTTTTTTAAAAATAACAAAAATAAGACACAATTATCAAATAAAATATATCCAGTATCCAAGGAATAGATATTATTGAAAAATATTGGTTGTTGGTTGTGAAAATGTAGACAACTAATCCCAGGCTCGAGATATGAATTCCCAAAATTTAAGAAAAAATTAATTCTTTGTCACTAAACTCACCAAATTTATTTTTCCATAACGGATTACGTATTTTTGTTTATTTTCATATTCTAACATTTCTCTTTTTTTTTTATTATATTTCAATTTAAATTTTTAGTTTTTTTTATTTCTATCGCTTAACCTTCCTTTGTATTAAATTTACAAAATATTTTAATTTATATAGTGATAGACACCACTCAATATATATATATATAAAAGAAAATTTTAAAAATTTTAAAAATCGTAAATAGTTTTTTTTAGTACTTTATGTTTTCAATTATTTTTAGAAAAATTTTCATTAACAAGTTTTGACTTTTTAAAATTTTTAATATCTTTTTAAAAAATCAACATTGACAATTTTGGATACTTTATAACTTTTTGTTATTTTATCTTTGAATCTTTATATCTATACTAAATCATTGACAATTTGTAAACTCTATATTTTTGTATTTTTTTAAAAGATTTATATTTTAATATATTAAATACCATGTATAAAAAATAATCCGATAAATACAATTTTTTTTATTTACGTGCATTTTTATTTTAACGTAATAAAATCTTGAATAAAAATGTCATGCAAAAAGCTTAGTTCTAAAATTTGATGGGCAAAACAACTGTAATAATTGAAGGGAATCTTAGATATAAGGTCAGGATGGCCGAGTGGTCTAAGGCGCCAGACTCAAGTTCTGGTCCTCGTGAGAGGGCGTGGGTTCAAATCCCACTTCTGACAAAATTGTTCGCTATCTCTTATCTCTTAATTTTTGTCTTATAAAATTTCTATGGGGCTAACAATTGCCTAGCTGATATTAGTGTGTGTGTGGACTCTATTTTTATTTGAGATTATGAAAGCGACCATAGCTTACTTCGTTTTGGGAGTGGAAATGCCCCCTCATGATTTTGTTTCACAATTTCTCATTAGAACACCAAATTAATCATTTGTGCTGTGACAACGATTTATTAAAAGCTGAACAGCAGGTTAGCAGACGTAATTCTCGCCCATCATTGTCTACTTTAATTTAGTGGCATCTGTCCAGTGTTGCAACCTTCATTATTCAATCTTATTTCGTATATTCATATTTTTTTAACATAACTCTGTTCATCAAAAAATGTGAAAACCATTCACTAGGACTAGGCGGCTTTTTCCGGCGCGTCTTCCTTCTGTAGTTTTTACATTATTGATTGTGATGCCATGTTGTTAACATGTTATTGGGACTTCTTTTTAATGTCAAATTGTCGCACCACCAAAGGCCACAATTTTCAGCTCATGGGCCCTTCCAAACTTCATGCTCGTGTGACACATTCTAAAAGTTTTTTTTTTTTTTAATTCTTACTGTCGTTGAGTAACAAAAAAAATGCTTATGACCAGTAAGGAGAAGATGCATTAGAACTCTTGTAGGGATACAATTTTTAATATATATTTACACACCAATGTAATAGGTATCGTCTGAACACTGAAGCGTGCAAATGTTGAATATATCTCAGTAGTGGCATGAATGACTACGAGACCACGCCGATGACGAAAGCAAACAAGCGAAGAGTGTACACTACACAAACACTATCTGATTAATAATAAAGTGATTTCCGCTAGTCCCAAACCAATGTATTGTCTGAGAGGCAAATTCAGTTGAGAATTGACTCGTTAATGCACCCAACAAATAATGATATAATCGAAAAACAGAAGCAACAATTTCAGCAGCAATATTTGACTTTAAAATTTGAGCTTCGACGTTCTTCTTCATATTGTTCTTCTTTAGAATGTGCCTGCATGGGTGGGTTACATCAGTTAAAGGGGAAGTGCCTCCCAACAATAGGATATTAGAATGCACCATTTTAGTAAAAAAACTGATAAATGGCCGTCTATATATATTCCCTACGGGTAGATGATATGTGAACTTCAACTACTCATAAATCAATTTATTTATTTATCATGAATCCTCATAAACTATTCGTAAATCATTTTTTTTTTTTGGTATGCGAATCCAATTAGTGGCTTTCTCCATTGACATTGGATAGCAGGTGTAAAATTTCAATACAAATAAATAATTTTGTAGTCCGGATAAAGAGGAAATTAGAATAAGATGAAGGATAAGATGTAGAAGAAATACCAACCACATGACAATGAAAGGATGATCCGAAAATAAAGATAATAGAGTCAATTTGCCTTCCAAAATTTGGATTAATAAACGCTTGGTTGTTAGACGATTGCAATATTGCACAAACACTTTATTATTGCCAAATTAAATTGTGGCAAGCAGCACACCAGTGTCTTTTTGTAAAAAAAAATTCATATGGGTTTCACTAATTGCAATTGCAATCAGAGAGGTCCCCGAAGGAAATGTAGACGCATGCATGCATCATGCATACATACATAACTATGTTATGTATATTTTATTTTGATTGATTTAAAGTTTGACAATTTTAGTTAAATAAAAGTAAGGAAAATCTTACCTTGTTTAATAAATAATTCCAAGTCAAATTATACTGAAAGAAATTTATGGCATAAACTCACGCTAAAACACTAATTTCCTTTAAAAAAAACTGTCTGATTTTTAATAGAAGTTTAAAAATAATAAAAATGGGTGATTATTAAGAAAAAAAATACTTATTACCACTTTCATTTCTAATGACGTCCTGGCAAGACCAACCGAGTCATAAAAATATAAGCATTAATCAACAAGAGACAATTCTTTTAAATTGACAAATATCATGAGCATCACACGGAAACATTTCAGACAGGAGCTTAGGTTATGTTATCCGATTTTATACTTTTTTATGGCTATTGGTACCTTTAGCGTTTGAATAATATTAGGTTTATATTACTTTTGTCCTATATACTCCTTTACACCCTATTTAAAATGTCATTATTTGAGAGGAAAAAGAATAGTTATTTTATGACAATGTTAAAAGAAAATGTAGCCAAAAGTGACGATGAACTCAGTGCTCCGTTTGGTTTGAAAGAAAAAATAAATAAATATTTTTCTATTTAGTTGAAAGAAAACAAGAGAAAACAAAAAACAGTTTTTTTTAATTTAGATTTTAATTAAGGGTAAGTGATTAAAGGTATGTTTGATTTTTCTTTTAAAAAATTTATTTTTTTCTAAATATAATATAAATTTATATTATATTTAAAAACAAAAATAAAAAACTCTTTTTAAAAGAGAAATCAAAATTAATCTAACTTAACGATTTTTATATTATGCATTATCCTTCTTATTGTCACGTCAGTGTATCGAGAACAGAGGGCAGTAAAATACTCTAATGCTTATCCATTTGGTTTTTGTGGCCACGTTACTTGATTACAATTCCGAACCAATAAGTGAATACCATCGCTCACAATACAAAGAATTATACAGTATAACCATCTAAAAGAGAAAATTGTAGTAAAAAACTCATTTTAGTTGCCCCAATGCCTTTCCTCCGTGTGGTATAATCAGTATAATTTCGGGGGATCTTCACCATTTAGAGCCACAGTAACAGTTTTAACATCCAATTATGGGTTTTTGAATCCATGACAGAAACATAACGACACTTGTAGGTGGTGGACTTCCATCGAAAGATGCATTTCTTCCCCACTCGCATGCTTGTGGACGTGGGTGAACCTGTGGCCCCTACTCAAACTCACATGGCCTCGTAAATTAGAGAAACGATGATATATACAGGGTCCCATGCATATTTTTAGGCCTATAAACGTGATTCATGGGCCTAGTTCTGAGAAAAATGCTGAAGGGAGAACTAGTTAGTAGAGCTGGCACAACAGCCAAATAGCCACGGTAATGCTGACAATGCTGGCAATGGCATTGGATTCCCACACATGCGTACCCGCGGACCATGGTATCCCACTTTCATCCATGGCGCCTACATACACCATTGTGCCATTGTTAAGCTGCGGCGATGCTGAGGCAGAAGAAGAACCACTCCCACTACCATCTGGTTTTGGATTTTGCCCCTGCCACGATTTCTGACTGCAAATCCAAAATCACGATGCTATAATAAGAACAATAAATATGTCAACACTATTTCCGACGAAAATATAAATTGAAATATAAGCAAAAATGGAACACGGGACGTGTCGAGATGTGATTGTATAACTGTTCAGAAATCCAAATAAAAAAAACTCTCTTAAAAATAGTTAATCAACAAAAAAAAAAGTTAGAGAGTATGTCAATGTTCTTTCTTATCCCAACATCACTAACTAGTGGTAGTTTCTTTAAAATTCCATACTATGCCTACTAGATAATAGAGCTGCCTCCTTTTGCGTATTTTTACCCAAAGATGAGTGAATCTCGTGCTGTAGTAATTAATACTATATTCTGCTAAATTCAAGTTTTTGAGATTCGGTAGCACAAAACACTATGACGGTAGTTAGTATTAGCGACTTTCCTTCGCGTTGCGTCAAAATATGGTCCCCTCATATGGAGACCACATGTGGAATTCTGAACTAGCTTAGCTTACATAGGATGTGCAATACAGCATTATCGTCCATTATTCTCGACACCCACTTTGCGCTTAGTGGTGAGTTCTGAGTAGATGGTCAGCAAATATCATTTAGTTTGACATTCATCTTCAACTAAAATACTCCTACTATTAAGCTCAACTTTGACTTTTAGACCCAAGAACTGAAATTTCATCAAAATGTTAATCTCGAACGGATAATAATATTGAACTGCTATTTTTTAGAGCAAATTTCATTTGTTATTTTTTCATTTAGATTTTCCTTGGTAAGAATATGTACTCAAACTTTTTATTCACTCTCAATTATTTTAGTTACAATTAGTTGGCTACAAGTTGCTTTAATTTTCTAATTAAAATATAATCTAAACAACACTTACTATGCGAATGAACATGTGACAAAGTAATATAAAAAGTAAACAATGAAAAAGATATAGCAAAAAATCATAGCTACCCCCGATAGTATACTGTATTGAAAAAAAATTATGTAATCAGCATTTTTTTTGGGGTTAAAATTATAGAGATTAACCGTTAGTATTTGAGTGTATAACTTAATTTTAGGTTTTCTTAATTTTATTAAGCATTCACAAACAAAAAAAATTTATGAAAAAAATATAAAGTTATTGTATTAGATTAAAATTATAAAAATATAATAAATAGTCCTAATTCTAATAAAATAACTAGAGTTTTTCGGGCATTAGTATGTATATACATAAAGAATGTCAGGGATAAAAAGGCATGCAAAAGTTAATCCCATGTGATTATTAAAAGTAAATAAATATATGTTATTGAAGCATTTCAGTAAAACACCTTAAAACAACAAGTTGTTTAATAATAGTAAAGATAAAATTTTTAAAAAAAAGTTTCTTTCTAAAAATGACAAATAAGAAAACAATGAAAATTCTAAAAAGACAGATAATTGATTGAAGAAAAAAAAAACAACAGGGGCTACTATTTTGTTTCTTCCTCTGCGCCACATAAACAACATAGGAGGTATGTTTCGAGTCCATTTCCATTTACCGAAATGCCCATCTATATTGCCTTTACAACTAAACAAAACGTCGTTATGTTGTCGCTATCGAAGTGAAAAGTCGTAACGTAGAAAATAATTAATTTCAAAAAAAAAAAAAAACAGAGCAGAAAATGCGTGAGGCTTTAATCCCAGTTACCCCACACCCAACCCAACGTTCATATTTTATTTTATTTTATTATTATAAACCAAATTACCGTTTTAATTGTTATAGTAAAACTGAAGCAAGTAGAGAAATTTAGGAATCTTACCTGGGATTACTGTTAGCTGAAGGACAAAAAGTGATGGCATAAGCGGCATCAGAACCGCACGTAAACGTGCTCGTCTTATCATCGTACGCGTAGCTATAGGCGCGTGGGCAAGCGTTCTTGAACATGAGCGAGTAAGCCGAAGGCTTGCAAGTGTTGGGTGAGCCATACGCACCGCTGCAACAATACTGAGGCGACCCAAAAGCCTCGCACGCGCTCTTGCACGCCACGCTCTGTTTCCCATCCACGCTCGTAACCCTGAGCTCCGAAGGACACGGGCCGTTGAGATCCCCAACGCAACCCGTGGCGGTGCAGTTGTCGCCGGAGCCACCTTGGGGAACCACCAGCATCGGCACGTTGTAGCCGTCGACCAAGCTGACGTCAAAGAAATCGAGTCCTCCCGCGCCGTTGAGAGTGAACTCGGCTAAGGTGGCCGGCGGCGTGGCTCCATTGCCGGCGCATTCGAGCTTGCCGGAGGCACAATCACCAGTGACACAGGAGAATCTTCCGGTGGAGACGTTTTGGGTGCAGAGGGTGCGGCCCCAGAAGCGGCCCCCCCAAGAAGTGGGTGCGGTTATGGTTTTGGATTCACCGCTTTGCAGAACGAAACCGGTGGTTGAAAGTGACGCAACTCCTGCGTTGGAGAGAATGCCTGGCCACACTGTGTAGTCGCATTTGTTAACTAATGTGAACGTTGTTGATGCCACCCCTGCAACAATGTTACTATTCATATGTCAGCGAATTCTTCATTTTTGTTTTGTTTTTTTTTAATTACCTGTAACTTTGTTTAGTGTTAACTATATTACCTGATGCTAATAGGTGAAGTGTTAGTAGGAATCGAAATGAAAGTGTGAGCTGATCCATGTGAAAAGGGTTGTAGTTATACTTTCGGAAATACAGAAGAATGGGAACGAAGAAGAAGCAGAAGAAACGAGTTATCGAATAAGTAAGGACGAGAGGTTTGTGAAAAGGAACTTGGAACTAAGCAGGGATCCATGGGTATTTATAGGGGAATGTGGCTGAATGTACAAAAACGAAATTACTTTCACGTTCTCACTGAAAAATAGTATTTTAAGATTGAAACATAAAAATTAAGAAATATATTTAATTGTTTTATTTTTATTAAAAATATTACAAAAATATATATTATATTTAAAAAAAATTATTTATACAATAAATAAATTTTTAAGAAAATGAATATTTTTAAAAAGTAAAATTAATAAAGTAGTTTTACTTTGAAATTATAAAATAGTTATTATTTAAAAAATAAAATTAATTAATGAAACTATTTTACGCGATCCTTTCAAAAAGAAAAATTTTATTTGGACAACAACAAAATGAAAATTAAAGATGTCATTTTCATTTATTTTATTTGAAGTATATTTTTAAACACTAATCGAAATAAATTTCAGAAGTCTGATAAACATTTCTAGGAATCCTAGAAGAAGTGTCTAAACCTTGAAGATTTAGAGAGGGGTCATGATTAACAGACCTAGGAATATCAGGTCTAACATAAGATCTAGAAGAAAAAGATCTCCTAGCAGAGACAAAATCAGATCGATTACTATAAGCATCGATCCTAGAGGAGAAAGAATTTCTCCTATCAAAGGTTATTTCACCAGAGGCGGCAAAGTCAGATTAGCTCTGACTCTAAATAAACCAAGACCACAATCTGCTTCAGCAGATTCAAAAACCTCTTCTTCTGGGTCATCGACCCCCATTGAGTCATCGACTCAAAAGGCAATCCAAATTGCTGAGTTGATGACTCAACAACTTGGATTGCCTTTTGAGTCGATGACTCAATGGGGGTCGATGACCCAGAAGAAGAGGTTTTTGAATCTGCTGAAGCAGATTGTGGTCTTGGTTTATTTAGAGTCAGAGCTAATCTGACTTTGCCGCCTCTGGTGGTTCCTCCCCTAGAAGGGGTAACTGCCTTTCTAGGCATCTTACTTATCCTGTAAATATTCACGGGTAAGATAATCAGGAAGGGAGTTTGAAGTGCCTTTGAGATATTCTATGTCAAAATCAAAAACACTTAAAATTGCTTGCCATCTTGCAAAAATTTGTTTTGAGGCAAGATTTTTAACATCTTTTTGTAAGATTTCTTTGGCAGACTTGCAGTCTACCCTAATTAAAAATTTTTGGTTTAATAAATCAGATTGGAATTTTGAAACGCATAAAACAATTGCCAAAACTTCCTTTTTAACAGTAGAATAATTCTGTTGTGCAGAATTCCAATGTTTTGAAGTGTATGCAATGATATGCTCATGAGACTTGATTTTTTGTTTAAGAATACCTCCATAACCTATGTCTGAGGCATCAGTTTCAACGATTTTGAAGGCTTGGGGGATGGGAAGATATAGGCAATTTATCTTCCTGACTTTGTTTTTGATTTCTTTAACGACATTAGTATGGACATCAGTCCAAGGGGGAGGATTTTTCCTAAGCCTATCATGTAAAGGCTTGATGATGTTATTTAGGTGGGGGATGAAATCCCCAACGTAATTGAGACATCCCAAAAATCTCTGTAATTGGGTTTTATCAAGGATCCTGTCAGGAAATTTATCAGCAAATTCAATGGACCTACTGATAGGGATAATGGTACCTTGGTGGATATTATGTCCAAGGAATCTGATATTGGTTTGAAAGAGACTAATTTTTGATTTTGAAACGGCAAGACCGTTTTGTTTAATAACATTGATAAAAACATTTATATGTTTAAAATGTTGATCAATGGATTGAGAAAAAATTAAAACATCGTCAATGTAGACAATGACAAATTTTGAATAAGGATTGAAAATGTCATTCATGATTTTTTGAAATTCAGAAGGAGCATTTTTTAGACCAAAGGGCATAACATTCCATTCGTAATGCCCAAAGGGAACAGTAAAGGCAGTCTTGTACCTATCATTTTCGCAAATTTGGATTTGCCAAAATCCCGATTTCATATCGAATTTTGAAAAGATCTTAGCAGAATTGAGTCTGTTAAGAAGATCTTTTTTATTGGGGATAGGATGCCTAATCCATTGAAGGGCTTGATTGAGGGGTTTGTAATTGATAACAAGTCTGGGAGTACCTCTTTCAATCTCAGCAGGTTTATTAACATAAAAAGCAGAGCAAGACCAAGGACTCTTGCTTTTCCTGATAAGATTTTTGTCTAAGAGATCTGTAATCTCTTTCTGACAATAATGGAGGAGTTCTTCATTCATCTGAATTGGTCTGGCTTTAGTGGGAATTTGGGTATCTTTGAATCCTGATTCATAAGGGAGACTGACAATATGTTAAGGGAGAAATTCTTTGAACCACTAGTCAGCAATTTGGAACTCCAAAAGAATCCTCCAAAAAGACTGATTCTGTTGTCAAAACCACCAAACAAACCAAAACAGACTATGCTCTCCCAATTAGTACGCTTTTAGCTATCCAACAAGGAAGCTTGAGTAGCCTACCAAATAAATCTTGGGTAGACATTGCCTCTGAAGAAGATATGGAATTAGATTTAGCAAGCCTAAACACTATACTCCAGACCTTCAACCAAACCCAAAAAACAATAACCAATAAAACAGAAGGGACCCTTGACCTTCAAAAGGGAAAACAAAAAACTTCAAACCCAAGCCATTATGTAGCCAAAGGAAAATTCTCCTCAGTCATACAAATGGAACCTGAATTTTGGGACAAAAACCCATACAAGGCAATTACTAAAGTCTTCCCACCAGGATTTCATTTCAGACCATATCAGGCTAATAAAACCAGACAGTTTTATGAGTTTATCTTAGTGGATTCAGATTCTGTTTCCATTAAGCATTACAAGGACCACAAGGATCCGTCAGTTACAACCCATTCAACAATACAAATCCTGAAAGTCTTAACTCCAAAGGCTTTTGGAAAAAATTTAAATTCTTATAAAAAGTTTTCCCAACCATTTGATCCAGTAGGATATAATTATTGGGACTACATTGACGCATGGACAAGAACTTTCTGGTTCCAAAATAAACTTAACCGACATTCTTGGTTAATATATTTTAAAAAGAATCAGAATTATAACTTTCCAAATTGGTTCCTCCAATGGTGGGATTATTTTGGACCAATAGAAGAAATCCTTCCCACTCCTGTCAAAGAAGGATACAAAATTTACAAAGGCAGATATCTGCGAGAATCAAGAATTCCAGCAGATCTTAAATACTTCTCTGATTTTGCCCTGGCATGGGTATTCTCATGGCAATACAGATATGGCAAGACAGAAAATGAAGACACTCTCCCATTGTTACACAGGTATTCCTTCGTAAAATGGTGGAATCAATTCAATGCGGAACATGCCGGACCAGAAGGAGTTGCTGAATATTTTGGGAAAAATCCCAAATTATTAAATCTTGCTGACCCAGCAACATTCCAATTCCTTAATCAGAAATCCAAAATTGCAGCATTCTTATCAGGATGCGATACCAAAGAGAAAATGAAGAAAAATCTTCAAGATGTTCTCCTGTTATTGCAAAACCAAGAAGAAGGAGAATCTTCTAACCAAAATGCCAATATTGAAGAAAATCAAAATGAAGATGATTGTTTCGGTATTGACATTCAGGATCTTTAGAAACCGGTACTATAGTTAATAGTTCCAGTCACCAACCGGAACTGTAGAAATAGTACTTTAAGATTTTCTATATAAGGAGGCCTCGACTATATTGTGAGGTACCCTTTCATTTTAGCAAGAGAAGAGAGATTTAAGAGAGAGAAGCTCTGAGAGAAAAACTTCTTGTAAGCCTTCTTCTTCTTTGAGATCTTTCAATAAAATTTGCTGTTTCAAATTATTTTCCTCTCTTCTCCCTCTTAGCCGGTCCTGTTCGGACTACCGTCGCTCCGGCTTTCTTCTCTTCTCCCTTCACTAGATCTGTGTTGGTTATACCACCGTTCTAGTTTCTTTATGAGCTAACTGTTTTACATACTGCACTTTTAATTTCTGCACATCATTTAGTAGTCCTGCTACTGCCTACTTTCCTTTCAGTCTTTTAATCTACATATTTTTGTTTCCTTGATCCACTCTTGATATATATATATATATATATATATATATATATATATATATATATATTCAAAGGTATTTCATAAGAATTATAATATCCATTGTTATTTTAATTTTTCCAATATATTTATTTTACCTCTTATTTTTCTTCAAGTGAAGCTATGGAGCCTGACATGGTTAGTAGGGTTATAATTAAATCAAGTTTACTTGAGTTCAAAGGAAAAATATGTCTAATGGAATTCACTAAATTAAACCTAAAAAATGATTATTTGATCCGTAATTTTTTTAATTCGGATTTTATTAAGAATAATAAATGTTTAATTAAAAAATACCTCTTATTTTATAATTTGATTCCCCTGAAATAAAAAATTATAACCATATTATATAGTATTGATTAAATTTTTCAAAGATAACTTGAAAATATTTTACTAAAGATAACAAATTTGTACCAAAAATAACAAATTTAAGGATGTTTTCAAAATAAATATGAAATAATCTAATTAAATATTGATTTAATTATTTATTGGTAAATTAATTGATAAGTAATTGTTTCAGCTTAATTGGTACTTTTAAATTTAAGTGTTAAATATGACACTGCATTAATGAATTTTTGTAAAATAATTTATAAAATAGCTCAAGTAAATTATTTTTTTAAACATGTTCTCGAGTTTTTCTAGATAATCTTTAAATGTACTGATGTTATTAACAATTAGAAAAGGTGTTAAACAAAAATAAAATAAAGATTTAAAAAAATATAATAATAGAATAAATATTATTTTAAAAAAATCATATTGACCTCGCTCTTAGCTAAAAATTTACTTCAAGTCTTCTTGACATGTAATGCTTAAAT